CTGCACCTTTAAAATGTCTTGTTTAATATCGTAAGAGTATTACATTCTTATGTCTTTGGCAATATACCATTTTTTGAATCCTGCTACCCTAATAACATTTATGCTGTAGACAAAATACTGTTTCTTCTACAGTTCGTGGCTGCTGTCATCGTTATACTTAAATAACTATATGTACAGCAGTACCATTCATTTTTCAAACAAATTGCTATTTATTTAACAATTATTTAAGAAATAAGATATCATGGGAGTATGAGATGAAGTCGGTCACGTGATCAAATATCCCATAACAGGCGTTATAGTGGATTTGATCACGTAACAACTTCATGTTATAATCAAATGAAACTCTGAAAAAATTGTTATTTTATTTCTAATGTTTTACTTTTTTATTCGTGTTACAAAAATATAGGCACTTTTTAGACTTGGCTATTGACATGCAACGTAACGTACCTACGAAGTCATTTGACATCGCAATCGGATCTTTCCAAATGGCTTGAGCAGTTTGCTTTCCAAATGTAAGAAAGCTTTATCATATGACCAACTTCCTGTCATTGAAAACTGAATTTCAATTTAATAAGTATTGTTATATTTACGAAAAGACACTGGCAAATGTAAATATTTTACTTTACTTGGCTAGTGTTGTTCCTTTTGTATAAATAGACATTACCATGTAAGACCCCAGACCAATTCAGGTGTTGACATGTTTGCGTAATCGTTTGTATAAGATAAAGTTGTTTCATGACCATTCAATCATGTATATTTCAAATTCTAGATGAAAATAGATTTCTAAAAATACATGTGTATGTTTTTCCCATTATGTGCAACTATGTCGGCATTTTGTCTCCATGGCCAGTTCTTATATAACTCAAAGTTCCAAAGCAAAAGGAATTTGATAAGGAAATAGTTTCCAAGCAGCTGTAACTCTATGAACTATGTTAGTAGTTTTACAATCTACTAGTTATTAAGATTGGATCCTTTACGCTCCTTTACTTTGTTATGTCGCTGTGCCGCAAAATAAAGGAGCGTAAAGGATCTAATTTTAATTAGACTGGAAGTTTTAATAATTGAACCTGGACATACTGCTCTTCATGGTTGTAGTGGATCATGGTAACATGTACAACTTTAAAGTATCTCTAACAACTAAGCTCTATGATAAACGTGATTACTTTAACTTTTCTATCGTCAGCTCCCCTTACCTATTCAGCAATACACCTTCATCACCTGCATACGGAGTTTATATAGACGTCGCGTACGGTAGTAGTGTTTCTTTCACACAGAGCATTAAAAATTCATTTGTTTGGTTGTGCAGAGATGGTTTTGCAAGACGATATCAAATATCATATATCATTGGCAAGAAAAATATATGAAAAAAGACAATATCATGCTATCAATACAATGACCTTGTCAGCAAATTTGATCAATTTATCATAGATCAAATGCTGACTGACGTTTTTCATACTTATTGTTAGTCCATTATTTATACACCGAATTGACGACAGATTTTTCCGTAAATTCCCGACGGAAGACCTTCTACTGATTCTGTTGGTAAAGATTATTATTCTTTTTTTTTCTTCTGCTTTCTAGACCGCAACTTTGAGGCCTCATATCTCGCTCATTTCTCAACGGATTTCGCTCAAATTTTCAGAGGTTATAGACGTTAATAAACTCTATGAGAATGCTGTCTAACATTTGAAAAAGCCACATCCGGTTTTGAGGTATTTCCCTTTAAACAAAAATTTATAGGCTTTCGTTTCCAGACAAAGGCTCAGAGACGGCTAAAGCTGGAGCAGAAATTCTACTGATTTTAGATAATAGAAGGATTGAAGTTGTGCACATCGGTTTTTGTTTTTCGATTTCTCTATTCAAAATGGCGCTATATAGGGGTCAAAAATTAGAACGCTTAAAAGAGCCAAAAATTACGCATATTTTACTTTTTATCTTCTAAACTAAAAATATTTTGTTAAAATATATAGAACATAATTTGTGCAAAATTAGAAGATCTTTCAAATGATATGTCAAAAAAAGGGCTGAGCCCTAAATTAAGAGATCTAGAGGGGCCAAAAGTTTTTTCCAGATATCACAAAAAGTATTGAGAATTTGTTATACATCAAAGAAGCAAAGTTGTTTAAAATATCAAGCTTTATCTAATGGGGTCGTCAAACTACGTCCGGCGATGTCAGTTCCGGTCGAACCGGAAGTAGTCGGAAAATGCATATTTTTGCCGTTTTTGACGGCTTTTTGGGTAACATGTGTCACCAGAAGCTTAAATATTAATTTTCCGTCCGTCGTCGTCACTTCCGGTCAAACCGGAAGGATCAAAGAATGGCTTAATTTTGCAATAATTAACATAGATTTGGAGGATTAAACCATTTTTGGACTTCATTTCTCATTTTGTTTCCAAAATGAAAGTTACTTCCGGTCAAACAGGACGGAAGACCTACTCGTTGCTTTGCAACGAGCTCGGCTCTAGTTTTTCATTCTTTTCGTTTACATTCCACAATATAAATCAGACAATTTCCCTTATCTACGTGTTTTTTTTTATTTGCACATTTAGTACAAGAAGCTAGAAATATAAAATTTAGTGACAGAAAGAAAACTTTACAACTACGAGTATAAGTAATTGTTAAGTACATACGGTGTATACATTTATTATACATGTATATCCTTAAGTCTTACTGAGATGAAATAAAAACTGGGAACCCTGTGTATTGATATGCATTTACTTTTTGAAACATTCTCATTTATTTATAAGACTTAGTATTCTTAATCTCATATTTTCTATACATGTATATTGTAAGTCTCATATAATACAATTATTTAATGCCTGAGCAGTCAATAGACCCGAGGTGCAGGGAACAGCTCAGTGTGTTCTATTGCCCGAGGCCAGCGGCAATAGAACACACTGAGCTGTTCCCTGCACCAAGGGAAAAATTTTCTGGTCTATTGACTGTTCAGGCATTAAATAATTGTTTTATTACCTAATTTTATTTTCCGTATTAAGTGTTCACAATTGTATATTCAGTGCATAAGGTTCCCGTACCATATTGTTTATTTTTACCTAGATATGGTGCATCTGTAATATTAATTAGATATTGATTGTATAGACTATTGTTTAAATTCCTCTCGAAAATTTTTCACTCTTATGGAGATGCCACCACTTCCCGGTGGAGAGGGACCTTTTCCGTGCCAGCAGAGCACCTACTGCTACACGGGACCTCGGTTGATAGGTCTCACCCGAAGGACCAGTCTCCACATCCCACAGTGTATTAATGAAAAGTAACTCTCGTTAAATAAAATATCCGACCATTGAAATCACACAATTTTTAAAACCAATGCAGAAAGATCGAATAAGATGATTGTTTGCCATGTCTGTCCAGTGTTACAAACAACTAAATTCGAAACCCGGATCGTTTTTGACGAAATACGTCACCGGTCAATAGAACGCACAGTCTATTGACCGGTCAATAGAACGCGCATTCTATTGACCGGTCAATAGATCGGTTTGAAAAGATAAGTAAAACTGAAAACACATCCAGAATAGATGAAAATATTAAATCTCTAATAAAACAACAAAATTCACTTGATTAGGTAATAAATTTTATTAGTATACATATGTACTTAGTCAATGCACCTTTTAATGAGCCCCAGACTATTTTCGACCTTGCCAGCATTTTATACACGTACATATAAATAAGGAAGTCTACGATGATTCTCTAATAAAATAAAACAACATTTATATCACTTGCTCATTATCTACATGTATAAATCCAATATGGTTTCTTTTTATAGTATTTTGGCGACTACCGTATAAAGTCTCTCGAAGATCTCGTCGTGTGTGTCCCTCTAACCTCAATCATAAAACAGATCACACGAGATTTAAGAGACAACTTAAAAGCTTGTTGACGGACAATTGATCGATCGTGTCTGTCTAATCGAACACATTCAAAACATGAAAACCTGCTAATTGTACAGCCCGAATTGCCTCTGGTCACACTTTGAGTATTTGACGTGTTAATGGTCATTTTATTATTAATTTGATAGTGTCTTATTAATTTCTTGACAAAATAACAAGGGTATTTTCAGCCCTGTGGGTCTAAAAATGTTAAAATCAAATACCTATTTAATCGTTTATCAATCATTAAATTTGTTTTAAAATTAAGGATGAAGATACAACATGTAAGTACATGTATATGTAAAATCATACGATCGACTGGTAAATCAGATTAACAGGAAAGGGGGTATATTTCGGAGGAAGGCAGATTCAAAATGCCATCTATCTAAATAGTAAATTGAAAATTAGAGCCTTAATCATTTAAAACCTTTGTGAATTTAATTGTGTAAGTGTTTAATGATTTTTGTTGAATTTGAAAATTCTTTTATTTTTACTTTATGAAGACAGCAATACGGTCTATTCGTAAACAATTAAATAAAAGGAATAGCTATAATAAATCATAATGAGTATCAAGTGGTGTAGATACATGTATTAAGATAGGACTATAAAATCACACTATCATACCACACACAAAATTCGCACCTGCGTCGTAAAACAATGAGATGAAAGGAAATAAAGAAAGGTGTTATCGCGCGGTTTATGCTTGATCATGAACTACCCCCTGAAAAATTACAAGCTGCACGAAATGAACCTGTTGAAATAGTTGACGAAAAATTTGTTTTAATTTCACATTATAGCTAGAAAATACCCCACTGGTATTGAAGCATTTATGAAATGTTTGTGTTTAAAGTGCGTTTGCGGAAAGAGAATATTTTCACCCCTGTGTTAGATGTTGATCTTTCTCCCCACACACTCTTCATATGTTTACAAATAAAACGGAAAAGAAAACAACTTCTAAATGCATGGATAAATTGTATTACCTACTCGTCTTTCAATGAATCCATCATTTAAAGCAATATTTATTTTCTTTTTTTCTTTTCATTCAGTCATAAAAATAAATCACGTGACAAAGTAGATTAACCAATCGCGTTACCTGTAACATTGCTGTGTATCCTAACTATAGAGTTCGGTAAACCCCCATGCATACTAAATGACGATAAAGGTGTTTAACGTATTTCAGTGGCATTGGTGACACGGAAAATCATCTTCAATGTATCGATACGTAGTGTTTGCGGATATTAATCGTTTTAAGCATTGGATTTCTTTAACGTGATGACGATGGATAATTATTCCTTCGAGCCTTTACTGTGTGTACTACGATTTCTGTTTTTACTTTGGGTTCTAATTTCACCATCACAATCGTTTGGTAACTGGATGTAAGTAAATAAGTAATTATGGTATTTAATTATTCCTACAAACTGAACAATATTTAGGATGGAGGGGCCTATCTTATTATTTTTTTTTTATTATTATAAACACGAATATTGGTAGAATTGTGCGCTTATTTCACATTTTAACAATTTTCCTTTAAGAATTTTTCAATTATAAATTAAATCTTTTCATTACGCGTTTACGTCAAAGCAATCAATATTCTTAAGTTTTCTGGGTTTTTTTTTTTTTGATTGATAACAATTAAGGTGCATAAACTTTACAAATATGAATAGGTCCCATGTAGTGCAAGAATAAAGCAATTTTAGGTTTTTAAGATACATAAATTCAAAAGATTAACAGAAATATTTTAGAGCTCGAAAATACGTGCAGGGTAGCTATTTCTTTTAAGTATCCTGTTTATCCGTCTCGTGCGGAAATTCTCTACAAAGTCGACCCTAAATTTTTCCTTGGTTTTCAGGGTGCCGACTAAACAGGGACTCGTTTATCGTTAAAATGAATGGTTTCAAGCTGATAAATTTGTCAATTTAGAGGCAAACCGACAAAGCGTGTAAGAGCTTAATATATTTTAAGTCACATCTTTGGGTGCTAATAACTGCCACTTGTGGACTAATTTGTATCGTTTTTTGACACGATAAAAGATAGAAGGAAAATACATCGGAATGGAATAATGAAAAAGGAACACCACCAATATTTATACATGTTTATCGTTGTTTTATCAATTTAATGCACCGAAGGTTTTATCTTTTGATTGCAAGTAACACCGCACTCCTTTAATTTCTCGAAAGAGAAAGTAAATGTGTCGATGTATTCGCGTTCATTCATTTTTTTTCTCAGCTGATACGTTTGACGTTTAGTTGGAATATCAGGTGTATATAATAGTGGTACACTGTGTTTGGCTCTGGAAATTTTATATCGCATATTTAGACACGGCTAATTCACTTTCGTGTATAGATAATGATTGAAGATTCTCGCTTATTGTGCCACAGTTTGACAAATTTCTCGACTCGATGCATCGGAAAGTGCAAAAAATAAAATCTCTAAAAATTATGCGTAAAAACTCCGTTCCTTGTATATCAAATGATCCCAAATTACTTCAGTTTTTGGTCAAGAGAAATTACTGCATTTTCTCACTTTACAAAAAGCCATTGTAAGTAAATTCACGGTCTGAAGTATGTTTATAAGACTAGGCTCCATAATATATATTTTTATTTCTATCATGGGCTTGGTTTCTAAGCAGTGAAAACTGAATTTAATTTATGGGTCCATGTACATGTTTAGTTTTTTGAATAAACGTTTGTTACCAAAGTAATTACAAGAAAATAAAATTGACGTCTGCATCAACATGAATGTATTTTATATATGTACTTGGCTGGATCTTAATCCCTGACTTTGCATTACAACAGAAGCATCTTCAAGCAGATGACACATGTATAAGATGTGCGAATGGACTTTTCAATCAAATATGTTTAAGCTAGATATGTACCAAAATATACGTGTAAGCAATTGTCATTTTATTTTTAAAGATTAAATTAATGAATTGAGCTTTTTTCCCCAATTTTAGACTCTTTTTGGTAAGAAAAAGTTGATTTACAGCAAGGGGCTAAAAACAAGCTTCATATATATATTTTCACTTTTATCACAATCTGTCGTTTTAACTAATATTTATGATGTGATTTTTTCTAACTTTCAAAAAAAATAAATATCAAGTTGAATGTTTATTATGCAAGAAATACATGAAAATATTTTTCAACAAAAACTTGACATTCAATATATTTTTTTCATTCTTTCAGGTATTTAGGCGTTTCTTCAATTACTGCACCAAAAGAGAATTCGTGCAGTAATTTCCCCGGTCTTGTGGATAAGCAGAAGAATCTTTTATGTATACAGAACCCTCAGGCGCTAAAGAGCGTCAGCGAAGGCGCGAAAAAGGCCATTTACGAATGTCAGGCTCAATTTCGTAATGAGAGGTGGAATTGTACCCTGAGCTCAAATTATTCCATTTTTGGCCACGTGCTGAGAAAAGGTAATGCTATATCCATGGATTTTTGTAAAAGAATTTAATTTCTTTTTTTCTTTTTTTATTTCTGTCTCCATGTTATTGTGGAAAGAATATATTACTGAGATAAAAATATAATTCTGAAATAAATTTTTCACTGATTGGGGAAAAACAGAGTAGGGAGATAAAAATCATTGATTTTTTTTTCGTAGATTGTTTTGCAAAAATATATATCTTCTAAGCTCTCTAAACACAAGTTCTAAAACTTAACTAGAATCACATCATGTGTTCGCAACTAATTATGATATAACATCCTTTGATATTGAAAACAAGCAATTCATAACAGATTTATGCACAAGGTTATGCAAGAATATTTATCTTATATTTCCCACGGTTTTACTCTTTGGGTGGGGGAACAAAGCTAAGGCTTAAAATGTTAACTGTCGAAGTCAAATGGAAAGAACAAGAAAATGCCTTGGAAAAGAAACTTTTATTTGCTTGTGAATATACAAAGTATTCCAAGTATTTAAACTTTCGCAACTTTCTATAAAAACGTATTTGACCACTTTTTTTCTGTTCTGACATTTAAAACAAACACGAGCTCTCGATGATTCAAACTGAGAATCTTTGATGTGAAATATTTCGGACATTAAATGCTGTTCTGTTGAATTGGGGGTTGGTGTTAGGGGACAATAAATGTTTAAGTTGTCGCTTGTTTCTCCCCCCTCCGCGCACCTGCCAGGAATCTAACAATCGAGATCGTAAAAGAATAATGAAAGCCTGTGCTTCATTTTCTACCAGTCTTATATAGCTTTTCATTGTCATGTAGAAAATGTGCAATATCTTGACATACCATTCCGGTATCTTCGGACAAATTGACATTGAAAGTGTTTTTTTTTTAATTTAGTGGCAGAGTGTGGTATAAATTGTCAAACTTTTAGATTAACAAAAAGATACAGATAATTGATCATAATCATTTTTTTCATCCAAAGTTCTTCTATATTTTATCAGGTACTTATTTAAGTCATTCTGTTCATGATAGCAAATTATTTTATAATAGAGTAGAAGTGGAAGCCTTGTGCTTTTACACGTTAACAAATAAAGTAAATGTACAATATATGTGTTCAGTATAATAATTACGAAGTATAAGATTGGCTTGAATCATTTCATAAGAAGTGAAAACTAGTTTGTGTCCCATTCCAAACTCTGCCTCAACACTTTAAGAGTAAATGACCGTGATTAATATTATGCATTTTAATCTCCAAATTTCTTTCACCATATTCATCATCAATTCCAAATTTGCATAAATTAATCAGGCGTGAACAAAATTGAACTCATTGACCTGTGTCATCGGTGTCTTTGCATCCTTTTGCCATCATATCCCTCCGCCGATAAAAATAATTCACCTTGGGTCTTTGTCTCGGGTAGGACATTTTTTTGTATTTATTGAAACCTGAAGGAATTCATTTATCTAGCTCGCTGAATATAGGGATCAGTTGTTATGTAAATAGGACTTGCTTCAATATAATCAAGTAAATTTACGAGACTGGCAACCCCGCGACACTTGCTTCTAGCAGACGACCTGCGTCCTTTTGGCGGGAATTAATCTCTCACAGCTACTGATAGTAGAAGTAACACACCGCGACGCGATTGTAGATCAAACTCTCAAAATATCGTAAAACTGTTAACTTTTATCACACCATGTAATATAATCACAAACATTTTTGCATTAAAAACAACGTAAATTTTATTGGAATCTTAATTATCTGGCGTCTGTATCATTTGAAAATTTTGATTCCATTCATTTCTATTTTAAGGAGCTCATGACATTGTTCTAAACGAAGTTCCATTTGTCGTATTAGCGTATATCAAAGTTATCAAAATAAAGTGTAATTGATGTACAAAATGTTTAAAAGAATTAATTTGCTTATTTTTAAATTAAAGAAAGTTGAAAAAGCTTGATAAACATAAATATTGATATACCTTTGTAAGGATGAATTACGGCACTCAATACAACGCTGACAGCATGAATACGTTCGCTTAGTTTTCATTTTCATTCATCTTTGCTAATAAGAAGGTGGCTTTTGACTAACTATACATAGATACCTGTGAATTACATTAAACTTGTATACTCCGGTAAATTGAACACGTTAATGAGTCTTCCTCTCTTTGGAGAAGATATTAACGTTAAATGATTCGTAGTCTGATATGTTTCTCATTTGTGTGTGAACGTTAGCGAATGTAATCCCTCTCAATAAAAAACCATTCATTTCTGTCCTACAATTGTCGCCATAAAACGTTTTAATTTCCAGAACAGTCAAGCGTGAAATAGAACGATGCCGAGGCATTCCGAACATACAGACGAAGATTGCAACTTTCTAAGAGAGCTAGAGTAGAGAAAAAAGGGAAATCAGAAACACCCCCCCCCCCCAAAGTACACTAGCTTACTGAATATTTTAACCTCTTTACATGTACATATAAATAAAAAAAATGTTTTGTTTTGTCGAAGAAAAAATATCTAGAAGCTCCATAAGAAAAAAACAGGGTTTTGAAATCAAAAATTGTGATTATTTTCTTAAAGGGGGGAAAATATGTCACAGAATAAAACATAGATTTCTGAAGTGAAGCTCAATTTAATATATAAAAGAATTAAAACGTTTTGCTATTTCTTAACTTACAAAAAACCAAAAGTAATATTTTCTGTTGTCATTAATGGTTTTTGTGCATGAGTTTCTAGACCTTGAGAGGGTATCGAGAATTGTTTTCGGAAATTCTATATCCCTTTATCTTATAAGGAATTGCTTTCACTCCTCTAAAAGTCGACAAAAATAGAGATTGCCTGCTGGGATAAAAAGTAAGCTCACAGATCTTTGGGATAAACACAATAAAACAATTCTTGCTCCATTATTGTTTAAGTAGAGGGCATTACATAACGTTTAAACTATATTACAAAGAAAATAGTTATGTCGTAACATTTTTTTTCACTTGTTCAGAGTATCAATAAATCTGCTTTTTCAACTTTTTTTTCAAGAAGGAAAAAACACCGTATGAAAACAAAAAAAATATCTTTCATTTTTTTCCCTGTATTTCTTTTGAAAGGAAAAGAGACAGCAGTTTTAATGGGATAGTTTTCACGTCCTAACCTGTAGGATGAAAGTTCAAATGGGCATTCAACTATACATGCTAATGTCAGAAATGAATTCTAATAAATAAAATCCATCACTTTTCTTCCAAGTTATCACATAAATATATCTCGCTAAATGGTCAGGGGAAATTCGTATATCTTAAAATTCAGATATTTTTTTATCTATATATTTTTCGGAAGTAATAAAGATGCTTTCTTGATAAATACCCAAACACTTGTTTAATTTTCTCCCCTTTGATAATCATCATAACACTTACATAATTTTCTCCTTTATCATCACAAAATTTTGTACTTGAAGTTTCTTAGATGCATCAACTTTATTTCATATGAAATAGAGAGAAAACGAAGCATATTGATTTCATATATTTTTTGCACATTTAACACAGCAGAAAACGGTTTTATCGGTCTGATAACATTTTTATCATCTAAGAAACTTTTTATAACATGCATATTTTCATAACTTTGTTCCTTTAATGATACGAAGGAAAAGGTACTCACTTCTGTGCATGAAAGCACGTGGTTCCCATTACATCTCGTATGTTACCGTTTGACACGTAATCTGATTTACATCTAATTCAGAGAGAACTTAACGAGCATAATTGTTATCTGATCTTACATGCAAAAAAAAAAAAGAAAAAAAGTGCTGGCGCATAAAGATGTTAGAAAAATACAAGTGAAAACTCTAGTGAAGAATTTGGAGCACAGGAAGTTTTTTCTGAAAAAATCTAACAATTAGCTGTTCTTTGGGGGTATAAAAATAGTCACGATCTCGAAAGAAATTACATTTAAAATTCATGTTTGACCGAATTATCATTACTGTTTAAATTAAGATAGGCTAAGAGAAGAAAATTTTCACTCTTTACGCTTAATTTAAGAAAAAAAAACTGATGCACGAAAACACGGCATATTAGGTTTACAGATGCATATTTATATACACCCAAACCTATTTGGTTTAGCTTTATAAAGAAATAAATCACATGTATAACTAGGAAATAATGTACGACAAAGAAAGGCTAGCACAAATATCATTTTTTTATTTAAATCTTTTTTTCTTTGTTTTTAAAATATATTTTTCGGTGATAGTATTTATCAATATACTATACACCCTTTACGAACAAGCTTCATGTGTTTCAATTTCTCAATCAAGTTCTCAACATTGACAAAATAATGCAATAATGAATTAAAGAATATCAAAAAGATAGCCTGTATCTTTACTAAAACACAACGGTCTTAAATCTTCCTTCAAGCATAACCTCCCTAGATCAGAGGGGGGACTAATCTACGTGTATAAATCATCAGTCCTCTGATATACTGAGAGATAGGCCTGGGGTGGATTAAGGACAAAGAATGATGGGGGTAGACCACCCCGAAACCCAATCTCAAGTATTATCAAACGGTAAACATACTCTTAACTTGTTCACACGCCTATCTTAATGAGCGGATCACAGAATCCATCTGTTGTAAATAAGTGTAACAATCGGCGGATCACGTTATCTATACTGTGCGATATTTTGAGTATTGTGTATTTGACAATGATTAGTTGTACAAATGTATACAAGATGTTTTGGACAAGTTTGTTCCTTGACTCTGCAGCTCCTATGTCTACATGTAGACCTTTTCTCTTCTTCAAGTAGGGTAATATTAAAGGCATTTATAAACATACTGATTTTTTTCTCTTAAAGCAAATTTGATAATCTACTGCATATAAATTGCATATAGGCTAGAAGTTTATTAATATGCAAAATAAATATGCAGAGTAATTTTCTGTCACTAGTCAAGCAAAAAAAAAAAAAAAAAAACAACAACAACAACATATGCGGGTATTAAATCAAGTACATAATGTATCTTGCTACATTTTGCAACGTACAAATTTTCTTGCGCTGAACTAAATTTTCTCTAATTTATCTTTAGCTTCATATTTCATATAAACCTGTGGGACATGGAGACCGGTCCTTCGGATGAGACTGTATAAACCGAGGTCACAGTATAGGTGCTGGCACGTAATAGACCCCACAATGCACAATGGCCCCGAGTGCCGAGTATAGGAAATATTGCAGCTCGTACTCCACCGCGGCAAATGGCGATGTCTTTATATGAGTGAAAAATTCTCGAGAGGGACGTTAAACAAGATACAATATCAATCAATCAATATGTATATTTGTTTTATTCCAGCATATGCATACCTTTGCATATATATATTACAACTTTGGACTTTCTTGGATCGTTATAGTGAAAACTATATATACTCAATTTTGAAATAATCTGTTTGTAAGAACATGTTCATACCTAAATAGCGTTTTTTATTTTATTTTTGTTTTTTGTTTTCCTCTTCTCAGAAAAAAGAAAACTTTTATTACATGTATTAAAACATATATTTTTTGGGCATTCCATAACTGCATAAACCGTATTTACCAAACTAGAAAAAAGGAAGTAAAAGGTCAATATGCACGTACATTTATTTAAACATATACAATATACATGCTGCTCACACTTAATTTTCAAAGTACAAAATGAAATCAGAGTTGACCTTGACAACTGATGGATCTATCTTTGAAAGTAAAAATGTTTCCCTTGTTTATTATTTAGAGATTACCAAAGCTTAGCCGACCAGTTAAATTTGGGACAGTTTAGACCGAGTTTTTTCCACTCCGAAACTGCGTCGATAGGCTCAATCGAAAGCATTGATAAATAGAGCAAAGTTAACTGAAAAAAAGAGTTCAGAGGATCAAGAAAGATTAGCATAAATTAATGTGCCATACACCAAGATCGCAGTGTTAAGATCAAGTTTAGCGGAAGATTAGGGAATTAAACAAGAATAACAAACGGCCTACTTTATAAGGAATGCCATCCCTTAAATTACATTCTGTAAACCTTGTATTACAAAGCCCAGCATGTTTTGTGGAATGTTATATATTGCGTTACATTTGACACAGACGGTGCATTTCAGTTTATCTGAATAAATACCAGGACACTTTTCCAATATCATATTGTCAGACCTCATGATCAGAAACAGGTGCAAAATGTACGATTGCCATAAAGAAAAGACCTATTACGGATCTCCCTAGATTTACATTGGGGTATTATATGCATTTATCTGTAAACATCTATTCAAAAAAGTAATAAAGTAATTTTGATGATTATGTATTTTCATTTCTAATTTTTCTCTCTGTGATAACTCTGAAAGTTAGCGGAGTTGATATCTTGATCATTCTACCAGAATGTAAATTAGGCAGGTCAATAGGTCAGGAGCTAAGGAGGCCTAATATGCATGCAAATCTCGTGCGCATCTGTCTCTGAGTCTGACGCTAAGGAGGCCCAATATGCATGAAAATCTCGTGCAGCTGCCGTTGTGTTGACGTCAGTGGGCGAGGACTATTGAAATTGGGATGGCAATCCTCGTGTAATTTAAATCTATGTCTGCATTTTTAGAGTCTTAATCTACAATTCTATCTCACAATGAAATGGAAATATAAGGAATCACTGTCTAGTTAGTATAGTATGCCAGGGACATCAACATTAGTGGGAAACATGGGATAATTTATGCATAACGGGCTTCGCCCGTTATGCAAATTATCCCATGTTTCCCACTATTGTTGAAGCCCTGGCATACTGTACTAAATAGACAGTGATTCCTTAAATAATTCTGCCGGAATGTATATTAGGCAGGTCGATAGGTCAGGAGCTAAGAAGGCCTAATATGTATGAAAATCTGGTGCGCATCTGTCTTTGTGTCTGATGCTAAGGAGGCCAAATATGCATGTAAATCTCGTGCGGCTGCCTTTGTGTTTGACGTCAGTGGGCGAGGACTATTAAAATTGCCATGGGAGTCGTCTTGTAATTTAAATCTTTGTCTACATTTTTAAAGTCTAAATCTACAATTTTATTTCACAATGAAATGGAAATATAAAGAATCACTGTCTAGTTAGTATAGTATGCCAGGGACATCAACGATAGTGGGAAACATGGGATAATTTATGCATAACGGACTTCGCCCGTTATGCAAATTATCTCATGTTTCCCACTATCGTTGATGCCCTGGCATACTGTACTAACTAGACAGTGATTCCTTAAATCTACACTTCTTTCTCTGGATATTGCGAATAAAAACCATACATGTATACGGATATAACGAATTACGAATTAGCGAAGAAAATTAAAAAGTCTTCAAGACTTCGCGATATCTGAGTTTTACTGTACCTTTCACAAGAACTAAAAACATTACCTTGAAATAGAAAAATATGATTGCTAATATTGTCCATATATCTAAATTCTTTGCCCGCAGTGCGCAATGATTAGAGCTGCTCTAGTGTCGCGGAGTAAGGAGTAAACAGTCTCTGTTTCAGTCTTTTCTCTTTTGAAAAAAAAAAAAAGTAAAAAAAAAACTTAAGCTTCAGAATACAAATCTTATATTTACATTATAAATCCAATTTTATTTTTGAATATATATACAAGTTATAATATTTTTTTTCTCCATCTGTTTATAGGTACCAGGGAAACAGCATTTATATACTCAATTCTAAGTGCGGGTGTCGTGCATTCTGTGACGCAAGCATGCACGGCGGGAAATCTAACGGCGTGCACGTGTGATGTGAGTGTACGTGAAGGTGAACATACGGTAGAGGGGTGGAAATGGGGGGGATGTAGTGACAATGTTCAGTATGGAATTCAATTTAGTCGTCAGTTTGTTGACGCATCAGAAACCCAACGTACTGAAAAATCGGCAAATATCAGGAACAGAATGAACCTACATAATTACGAAGTGGGCCGACAGGTAATCTTTTTATTTATTTACTTACTTAATTACTTTTTTCCCTTATTTACTTCAAAAATTTATTTTAATATCTTACCTTGATATCAACTGCTAATCTCATCAATTCTTGACATAGCGAAGCTAAACTGTACAATGCATCAAGTTTTTTTTTCATTCAACCAAAGTTTTTCTGGACTTTTGTTTACACCCGGTGCCTATAATTCATTTATAGATGATTTCTAATCATGTAGAATTTTACATTAAATTATTTATGAATTATTTTGGCTTTCACCTGAAATCTTCAGACAAGTATACACTTCATAAATCTTGCAATCCATCTCGTATATGAATTGTTTTGAATACCATCTAAATTATTATTTTTATGGTGAATGTCATCATCAATCAATAAAAAAAAATATAAAATCTTTCAGTAAGAAGATAATACTAATTTATCTTCAAAATTTTTCGGGGTTATATCAAGTTAAACATTGCCAAAAATACTCAAAAATGGCGTCCCTCTTGTAAGTGATTTCAAATTCTTTTCAAACTTCTAGACTTATGCTTTAAATACATGTACTTGTACATGTATCACCAAAAACAGCTGAAGAAACGAAATATAAGCTATTGCAGAAGAACTCTTTTCTTGGAAAAATAATTATACGCGTAATACGTTTTAACGGGGACTTATATACTAACGGGTCCCTGGTTTTCAGTTCATTTTGCAAGAAAAAATGCCTTCCTAAAAATATGCATTTCTTTTTTTTTTTAATTGAGATATTGATCTCTTAGATGATTTTGATTTTTCATTTAAATAATGCTTTAAATATGCTTCTTCAAATTAATCCATTTCGAATACTGTATATTGTACCATGGCTGAGAGGGAAAACTGTTATCTGAATTCTAAAGTGACGTTTCTAATTCATAATATTTTCCAATTTTTAGTAAACCCATAATTTAAAGGAAATTATCACTGTTTTTGAAATGTTCTACATTATTATGTGATAACTCTTTAGATCTATAATATTCGTATACAATGTAATATACAAAGTTGTTAGGAACTTGCTATCAAATAAAATGACAATGTCAACATTTCTTTGAAATTTTTGGAACTGTTAAAAATATTTGTTGGTGTTACATGCGATCCTTAAATTGCTGTGTTAATTCTTTCACACTTTGAAATATCATCTGTCGAAACTATGCCAATAAAAACCTAACAATGTGTTAACGTAGTGTTGTCATAAAAATTATGTATGATTCTCTAGGCACGCTGGTATTAAATTTTTAATTAAACGTTTTAAAGTAAAGATACTTGTATCATTTTCTTTTCTGCAGGGGATTACCGTCTTTCATAAAATTTCATTGAGTTCAAATTTTCTACATAGAGATCTTCATGAGAAAAAAATAAACAGGGGTAATAAATTACAAGAAACGGGGGCAACAATACCGTGAAATTTGAGGAGGGTCAGATATGGGAGGGGCGGTCCCCTGGAACAGATTGGCGTTTTGTGATTAAGGTCCCTAATTGTACCCTCCGAGTTTGTGCTCCATTCTCGTTACAACAGCGTGTTACTCCAATTCCTACCGTAACAGGTCAATCCGATACTCCTAATTATCTGTTTTGTCAAGAAAATGATATCTTATTCAAAAACGGGGGGTTTCGTTTTTCGGTAATGTCTGTATATAGCGAAGAGTACGTTTATCATCTCCATGATTTGTCCCTTGTGTCATGTGGGATATCACTTTTACATTTCGACTGAATTGGAGATACTCCTAGTTAAGGGTATTATAATCCCATCTTGATTTTTATCTAAATCTGTCAGAGAATTCCGCCTTAGATAGGACAGTAATGTATCAGTGATCGTATCTCGATATAGATAATACCAGAAAAGGAGGTAAATCAATATAATAGGGATGTACTTTTTTTAAAATTTGATAATTACGGTAATTACCGTCTTCTGATGAAGAAACATTTGAGTGTCTATTTTGCGACATCATCACTTTCTTCAAAGAGCCATTGTGATAAATCTGTCCATTGATAATTTCAAAAATCTCTAATCTTTGAGTGACTCTCTTTTGTTAGAAGATTGTGTATAGTTACATTAAACTCTCTTGGAAAAAAGCGTAATGTATTTTTTCTCCCAGATTAAATCTATTTTTAACAAGAATCGTTTAAAACAGATCTGAAGATGTCTGTATGAAGTTTAGATTATATCATTTCAAACAGAGTCCCTAATCCCCGGGTATTGTGTCTGGAAAATTTACCGATCGGGTTCGATTTATCATCCTGTTTGAAAGTGGAAATGATCAGAAGAATCAAAACTACCGCAGATTCAAATGCTCGGGTAGTCAAAAACACGAGAGAGTGTTGAAGTGGTCAGATAGATATCACAGAACAACGACTGGAGTGTTTGAAGAGTCCTAGATAGGATCAGACAACATGTTATTTGATTGGAAATCTCGCGATCATCTCGCTATAACCACGTGTCGCATGCGCAAGAGGTCAAAGATTGGCTGTGGTTACTTTCATGTAAAGACCAATTAGAATTTTACTCTTCTTTGCATTCTAAGGCTTACAAATAACCAACATCTTTTTACATCAAGTTTAGATTTTATCTTTTATTTTAAAGACATTCTTTTAAAGTACAAGTCATGATACTTAGTCTATGTTACTTTCTCTCTATATATATGTTGGTGATTGCGTTGTAGGTTCATTTATCTTTTTTTTAAATCAAAGAACTAAAATCTTTCATCAAAATGTATAGAACTCATATTTTTTGTAAATCAGAATTCTGATTCTCTGTAGTTTATATTACTGGTCATTTTTTAGCTTTATTAACATTTCTAGAACGTTGTAAAGTGCGTTTATAATTGGTATTTCATTTTTTTTTTCGAAAATGACACTCCACAAGATATATGGTTTTCTCATTCAAAGTTTAAACATAACATTTATTTTGATAAACTCCCATTCACAAGAATTCAAGCTGTCCATTGATAAATTCGAATAAATGATGTTATTAGATTTATCATTTTTACCTTTCTACTATGAAAAATATCTAGAATCTTTTCAAATACAAGTAATATTATGAAACCCCAAGGGTTAAGTAAAATGATTCAGGGGGACAAAGGGACTGTCATTATAAAGGGAAGTAACCCCAGTGTTTATTGGTACGGTGCAAAAGTATGACATTTTCCACACTGTCGCCTCAGAAAGGACGCAAGCCGCGATTATCCTCCTATCTCTCAACAGGGACACAGCGCAAGTCAATTTGAAAGATGAAAGGGAAAATATTTCTATTTAACAGAGTTATAAACCCTCGTAAAGTAGCCATGTATAGGCGGCGATAATATGAACTCTCATGGTCACCAAAAGGATCACCAAGATCGATTTGGAAAGGGGTGCTTTCCGAGAGATGGGGAATAAATCTACGCTGGTATTTGCCGAAATTTATATAAAGTCTCAAAGAAATCTGCTTCAGATACACAGTACTATACGGGCCTGGAAAGAAATTGACAGCGCAGTAAAAAACATTATAAAATTGCAGAAATAACAAGTCCATGTTTAGCAGAGTAAATTTTTCCTTTATGAGGCCTCTTACAGTCGGGTCAGACTTGTATCCATTTTTGATCAATTGGCAGGAAGGCGCTATGTTTGAATAACTTTATTTGCATAGTAATTAGGCTTCGGAGACAAAAACTTAATGTCCTTATTCTTTTCCTTTAAAGTTTCCGTTAATGTTGAGTCTCAATGTTATAAAAATATATAAAAACCAATGGAGAATAAAAGCTTGAAATTGTTTGTTCGTCCTTTTAATGTCCTGCAATATAGAAGGGAATAGAGGATTCTTGTGCCAACAACAAATCCAATGATCAAATGAAACCGGCACCAATAAAAAGTTGTTTTAATTATTGACTAAAAACGAGCGTCCCGTCTGCTTACATTAATTTTTTTATGTTGGAAAGTTATTTCGTCCAGAAAAACTAATTTGTCTGGGACTATGTGATAAATTGGCTAGTATATGATCTATTGGGGTACACAACACGCAATGACAGTAGACACTTTGAAATTATTCCTTACGTTCCAGACTGTCATGGATACGATTGAGTTTTATGTGACCATGCAGTTTTCAGAATTTCTCTGATACTTAACATCATCTTGTATCATTTTGCAAAATAATTAATAAAAAAGGAAATAAGCAATTTTACAGAGAAAAAACTCAACTAACATCGCTGCACTATGAATGTAACCATACGCCAGAGCAATTGTTTAACTTCCGGCGATTTGCTTATAACTGCAATCTGGCTTTGCTACACATCAGTGACTTTTTGTCTGCAGGCATGAGAGATCTGTGTTTTATTTTTGAAAATAATTTAAATATATGACTAACTCAATTACCTAGAAAAGTTCCACTAGATTTATAAGACGAACAACTGTCTTCGATATGGTGGTACATGTACATTGTATCTGCGGAAATATTTAATGATGATGTCTTCTGGCTCCTACCATTTAACATCTCTCTAAAAAAATTGTCCGCATCAGACACATAATATCGTTTTTGAAAGAGACATCCGGAAGTAATATATGATTAATATTTGGAGGCAGTTCAAACTGCTGCTAAAGCTCAGGTATTGAGATTGTCACTTTTTAGCTCACCTGAGCTGAATGCTGAAGTGAGTTTTTTCTGATCCGCGTCCTTTCCTCTTTCTGTCTGTCCATCCATCTGTTAACTTTTTTTTTTACATTTTCAACGACTCTAAAAACCATGAGGCCAATTTTAAACAAAATTGTCATAAAACATCTTTGTGTGAAGGGAATTTCGAATTGTCAAAGTAAGGGTCCAAGTTCTATTTCAAGGGATGGAAATAAAGAAAGGAGAATAAATAGTTGGGGGTCATTAAAAATGTTCTTTTCAAGAACATGTGTGCCAGAGGACATGAAACTCATGTGAAAGTCTGTATATACCAAATTTTTCAAAACATATCCCCAAAGGTTGGGGTGGGGCAACAATAGGGGATCAAAGTTTTACATAGTAATTTATGAGGGGGGGGGGGGTTAAAACTTTTTCTTTCAAATTATGCCCCATGGGTTATGGTTAGAATTAGGTATGCACACAGGAACTTTTTTTTCTTCAGTAACTGCAAGGCCAAGTATATAATAATTAGATTGAAGCATGTTCATGCTGTGCAGTGTGTGGTTTCAGGGACCTTTGAGTGAGACTATAGTATGGGGTTACAACTTTTCATGGGAGTATAAACATATTTTTTACACTGTACATAAATACATTACAGTGTATAGCTAAAGTAACTAAGGTGAGCGTTGTGGCCCACAGGCATCTGTTTAAGTTGTACCTTATGTATTTGAAGCAGGTTGAAATCAAATAAATCTGAAACTTTTCATGATCCACCCTTTATTGTAATTCTGGACATTTTTCTTGGTTCTCAAAGGTACAAATTACGTAAGATATGTATTTATAGACATGAGGCATTTAACAAATTGATAACTTAATTTATTCATCACTGCACTAATGTAACCCCTTTACTACATACCCGAACGGAAATTAATTTGTATGCACCCTAAAAAATTCGGTCAGTATTTTTGGTACCGTGTATACGAACAATTGTTCATTTGGTAATGAGTCACGTGGTTCTTTGGACAACCTCGTAATTCTCGAGATTTTTTCCGACCTCTGACGGAAAGGCCCGGGATGATGAGATTGTCTCTTCCGTGTTTATTAATTGACATGCGATGTATTGATGTGTCTTGGAAAACCCTCTCTTTTACTTTACTGGCAACTTGCGGGAGGTCACCGCAACATAGCCACACGCAACGATACGTGATTTATTTTCCCATTTCATTTAACTTTATTTCAATTTTATGATTATTTTAAAAAAAATTTCACTCGATGTTTAATGGTTATGGATAACCTATATTTCCTATTCCTTTTATTTTCTGAAATTTAACTTCAAAGACGTCATAGAAGAAATGTATTTTTTTTTTTAAATATTCAAGTAAAAAAAAATGACCTAAATTTTTACTCGTTTGATAAAGAATTAAAGATATATATGGTGCAGTTTCTCAAATATTCAAAGAATTGAACTAATAAAATAATCTTACATGTAGCTATAGGACACACACAAAGATTTTAATCCAAAAAGATACATGTGTGCGTTTATTTTATACACAACAATGTCACCGCAAACAAGAAATCTTCCAAATTCTAAAAAATAAATTGTGAAATCATCATTACCAGGGGAAATTGACAGATTAATGAGAATTTAAGAAGCCAGTTTTGCTTGTTATAAATTAAAGTATATAGTGATTCAAAAAAATAAATAAGTCATCCATCTTATTTGTGACGAATGTCGTATTGTTCATTCTTGATAATACCACACACACAATTCATCTTCGTCATCGATATTGTGTAGCCTTTATATATAATGTATTTAGCAAAGTCACTTGACTTAGACATCATAGATTACATGGGGCAACAAAATCCTTTCATTAGAATTTTTGAAAATTGGCATTTTTGCCGCTGTTCATTAAATTCATAAATGAATCTTGTGGATTTATAAATATATATTATTTGTATGCGTTTTTTGTTTCTATTTTGCATGAAAATAATTACTAGGTGGATTTTCCCTTTCTTTTTTAATGAGAACAATTAGTAAGTTGATAGAACTTGTTTCTCATCCTTTTGATTGTCAATACACATATGTTCAAAACAAAGTCACCTTTCACTTTTATTACTTAAAAGTTTAGGTTTAAAATTCATTTATTATGCCAATTTTCAAAATGCGAGCTGAGATATCTAGGCTGCATCCATTGTTATTTATTAATAATACATGTATAAAATTTACGTATTTTTTCTTTTAGTATCAGTTCGTACATAGGTTTTAAAATTTTGTAGAATCGCTCTCTCTCTCTCTCTCTCTCAAAAGTATTCAATAATATACTCGTATATCTTATTTGTTTATTATTATTTTTTTTTTTGTAAACCACCAAAATAAAGCCGAAAATAGACAACTTATCACCTTTTATCTCCAGTCCACACATCATGGTCTTCTAAAACATGTCATGCCTTAAAATAGGTTAATATGTTTTATAGAAGCCAATTTGTCTACTCTTCAATTATCAGCAATGTTAATATGGCTTTTTTCACATTCTTAGTAATTACTTTCTTCAGTTAAGAAGGGATTTGTTAAACTTTAAGTCGCCATTTGAAAGACAATTTTTATCAAATTATTTGTTACAAAGTAAATAAAAACTATCCATGTCCTTAATTTGTAACTTTTCTTTTTAGAAAATAAAACTTTTTAAGCTCACCTGAGCTGAAGGCTCAAGTGAGCTTCTCTGATCACATTTTGTCCGGCGTCCGTCTGTCTGTCTGTAAACTTTTCACATTTTTTGGACTCCTTCTCAAGAACCACTGAGCCAATTTCAACCAAACTTGTCACAATGCATCCTTGGGTTAAGGGGATTCAAGTTTGTTCAAATGAAGGGCCACGCCCTCATTCAAGGGGAGATAATTGGGAATTAACGAAAATTTGGTGGCATGTTACAAAAATCTTCTTCTCAAGAACCACTGTGCCAGGAAAGATGAAACTTATGGGGAAACATCCTCAGGTAGTGTAGATTCAAGTTTGTTCAAATCATGACCCCCGGGGGTAGGGCGGGGCCATAATGGCAGACCAAAGTTTTACATAGACATATAGTATATAGGAAAATTCTTTACAAATCTTCTTCTCAAGAATAACAAAGCCATGATTAATCATATTTATGTGGAAGCATCCTCAGGTAGTGTAGATTCAAGTTTGTTCAAATCATGACCCCCGGGGGTAGGGCGGGGCCACAATGGCCGACCAAAGTTTTACATAGAAATATATAGGAAATTTCTTTAAAAATCTTCTTCTCAAGAATAGCAAAGCCATAATTGATCATATTTGTATGGAAGCATCCTCAGGTAGTGTAGATCCAAGTTTGTTCAAATCATGACCCCCGGGGGTAGGGCGGGGCCACAATGGCCGACAAAGTTTTACATAGAAATATATAGTAAAATTCTTTAAAAATCATCTTCTCAAGAATAGCAAAGCCATGATTGGTCATGGAACTACTTTTGGATTTAAACTTTTGAATAATAAACCAATTCCTACTTTTTCCTAGCCATAGTGCTCAGGTGAGCGATGTGGCCCATGGGCCTATTGTTATTTTATCTATTGAGTTTCTTTGCAACAAATGCCCTTTGTTTACAAGAAAAAAAGGACATTTTAAACTAGATTTTTAATCAATAAATTTAGGGTTTCATTTCAGCAGAATACAGTGCATTAAAAACTACAAGAAGATACCTTAGGCTATTGAATTTTCACCAATTTAAACGTAATCCGAAATGTTTTTTTTTTCATAGTAATTATCATTTCAGACAAACACACACATTCTTTTCAAATTTAATTTTTTTTCATAATTATTTGAATTGAAGTTGGAGAAGCAGACAAATGTTACTACAGCAATTAGCTTGAATACAAGAATATATCTCTGCATATTCAAAACTTTAATGTTTAGAGTCCACACATCTGAAGACCTTGACATGATTGTTTCTTAAAGTTTTATTGTTTCACAAAAGAAATCCAATTTTCAAAAGTAGGTTTATGTTCATAAAAGACGTTTCACATTGATTTTGATTTTTCACAACTATTTTGCAGATTGTTGCCGAGCTTATGAAGTTTAAGTGTCGATGTCATGGAGTTTCCGGATCATGCGCAGTCCAGACTTGTTGGAAATCGCTATCCGACTTCCGGACGATAGGAGATACCTTAAAACAAAAATACGAATCACCGATTCAAATTGCCAGACGATCTTTGCGAAAATTAAAGAGAGCAGAAAAAAAGAAGCGAAGAGTGCCCATCGCGAATATGGAATTAGTTTACGTTCACAGATCACCAAATTACTGTAAGGCGAACAAAAAGAGGGGAATTCTGGGAACAAAGGGGCGTGAATGTAACAAAACGTCATCGGGGTCAGACAGCTGTGACCTCTTGTGTTGTGGGCGTGGTTATAATACTCAAGTAGTACGACTAGTTCAAAGATGCGAATGCAAATTTATTTGGTGTTGTTACGTAAAATGCAAAACGTGCGAAACCCTTCTTGATAAACACACGTGCAAATGAAGTTGTGCTCCATTAAAATTGAATGTCTTGTGATCAAAGCAATATTTTCGTCAGAGATGATGTTTGACGCACATGTGTTTGGACATCCCAAATTTACCCGACAGATCTAGAAATTTCGTCAATGTAGGGAGAAGAAGTATGGAGTACAAACTGACTGCCTCCTTGTCAATGTGATATTGTAATTAGAGCCATCTGTTTCCATCCCGAATTTACACGATACCATTCTTTAATTATCGTATATTTTCTGATTTTCCTCAGAATCATATTTGAGATACATGACTGACCCTTAAACGACATAGGAATGTACGTGTTTTTATTCAACGTTGTGGTCGCCTTGCGATTTTGTATCTTTTTGAATAACTTTATCTTAGTATTTTTTCTAGACTGTGCGGCGACGGTTTTGGATGTAATGTCTCAGGATGAATTGGTATTTTACAATGTATATCGATAATGATGATAATTTATTTCACATTTCATGACATTTTTTTATGATTTTATAATTACATGTACATATATGTGTATCAAAGTGCTGTCATTACCTACATTAACAGAAATGTGAACATTTACTCAGCAAAAGTTACTTTGCTCTCACCATTTTCATTTGATTTCATTTTTTTCTTGTTTTATATTGTTACATGCTTTATTTTGTTATAGGTTTATCATAATTATCTGTGTACATTTGTTTGTTTCTAGTATACATAAATCTGCTTGTATATGTATATAAAAAGTTCCAAACCAAGCATGTAGCTTTTTATCTATTTTTTACAATGTAGAACATTATACATTTGCAATAAATATCACTAAAATTGAAGCTTTAGGGGGGTATGCTTTAATGATTTTATAAATTACGAGGTTTGTAAGGAACGGACCATTAATCTAGGGTCGAGAAAGTGTTAATTCTGTTTAATTAATATTAATGTATGTTAATGAAACGATACATTTGGAACAGGTGTTAAATTTGACGAATCAATTGCTACAGACACTTCATTTTTCCTTCTTATCACGTCAACAAATACAATGATTTACTCTAGTAAAGATTTTCCTACCTACTTACCGACCCAGTTACTTTACTCTGAGAGGGCAAGCAAACATTATTTTAAAGATACCTAATAAGAAAGTACATGAAGCTGTTCTAACATTTCTGAAAATCACGGAAAAAAAACCAAGAAATTCAAAAAAAAAACAAACAAACAAACAAACAAACAAAAAAAAAAAAAAAAACTAGAATTATGAAAAAAATACAGGTGACGTGCGTTAGTATGGCTCCTATATTTTGAAAAATTATGAGCGATAAAATCTTTGCTGTATCTTTTATCACTGTTGTAGCAAGAACAAGTGGCAAATCCGCCAGTTTGTAGTCTTGCAGACCACAAATAAATCCACATATTACACTCTACAAACAAAATACGCACTTTTGTTTGTCTTATATGCATGCATTTTTATTAGAGACATGATAAATGCAATTTAAAAAAATCTTTGAATTCAAGATTTCCAGTAAAGGTGTTTGTTTGATCAATTTTTTGACAACTAAAATCAACTCTTACAAAAAACTATGGCCATTAAAACTATTTTGTTAGACATTTTGGCTATATAAAACTCAGGAATTTATTTAAGGACTTTGTAGAGAATACATGTACGAGTTTTGCTCAACATATTGTCTGCTAGCGCCTTCGGAAATCATTTTTGTTTTTCGTGAGAAAATTATTTTTTTTATATATTATTTCAAGGATTTTCAGCATAAATACAAAGTTATGATTCAATGTACATGTAAATATGGACAAACTTTTTTTTTTTCGAAAAGATACTTCCATTTCCAAAAAATTAAAAATAAATATTGAATTTCAACTAAGATCGATTGTATATGACATGACGACTCTCGGAGAAATGCTAATCGACAAAACTCGGCTAACTGCGCTGCGCTCCACGCAAATCATCCGACAATCGCATCATCTCGGGTCTTTCCGTCGGAGGTTGTTTTTCCGCTGGTCAGAAAGGCCCTAGAAGTTGCGATTTTCAACTTTACGAAGGTAACTTATGTAGATGTACCTGTTATAAAACATTGACAGGCAAAAAAGACAAATCTTATTTTTATGAAAGGGAGGGGGTCGAACTTCTTTCATAATATTTTTTTATTGAAACATACGTTACCCTAACCACATACATGTATTTAAGTCTTTTAACTCTAGATACTCAGTGTAAATCGTAAAAAAAATTTTGTCTGGAAAGAAGATGAGATTCAGGTAAGCTGCCCCCCCCCCCCCCGCCCGTCATTAACTTTCAAGAACGATGCTACGTCAGGATCACTTACGTGTACACTTACATGTACCTGACTGTGCTACTTACCCGTTTTTTTTTTTATTCTGAGTCGCGGGAAGACAAACAAACACTATTGTAAAGTCGGCCTGACTTTAACTTTTGTTTTATGTCCATGAAGCAATTATTTTTTAGCATTGGTGATATTCGCTCTATTATTCACTTAGGCAAGTTTTCCAGCTTTATTCAAAAGTAAAGACCAATAAGGTCAAACCTTTAACGAGTTTTAAAAATTCTATTTCTATCCCAAATTTAAATAATGTCAATTTAGTGAAATATACGTTTCTTTTCTCGATGATTCATAGAAAATTGTTAAAAAAAAAAACTACGGCGGACAAAAACATTTTAAATTTCATTTTTCTTTTATTGTCAATACAAGGACATAAAAATATCAACAAAAGCTATTCATTTGAAGAAAATGTTTATAATGATGGATGTATTATGAATCAACAAAATGTGTATCGTCTATTTCCATCATTCACATCGATTTAATACATTTTAAATCCCCACATATATGTAAATGAGAACAAGATACGATCTATACTATAAGTACAAATTGGTATTTTGTTTGGTTGTACAAATAAAAGTATATATAAATAAAGTTTTCCACACAATTATGCACGAGTTATTTATGTGCTTTTCGTTGAGCGAAATTTAATGTACGTGTATTTCTGTCTACATTTATAAATTTTAGAAATAATTGTGTTTTTAGTGCAAATTTCTTTCATATTGTTGCAAGTTAGATCTTTAAAAATTAATTTTTAAATCAATGTTTTTAAATTTGAAAATGAGAAATGTTTATAAAAGAAACCAAAAATCATCACATTTAATTGTGAGTTTATTCTGCTAAAGTCTTAATGTAAAAAAAAAAATCATTTAGTCCCTGGTCCACTCCTTCGATCCCTCTGCAATCTGCATCAATTTTTTAGCAAACATAACAAACTACAACATATATAGTAGTACATGTCTCTAGTACATGTATATTTCCATACACATGTTTACTTTGCGTATGCTTGTAAGCATTTATAGGCGTCGGAACAAGGGGAGGCTAGGGGGGCTTAGCCCCCCCCCCCATTTTTGCAAAGATATGCATAATATAGGCATTGAAAATTGGGGCTTACTTTTTTTCACACACCCTCCCCCCTCCCTTTCAATTAGTCAATGTACTCATTAATCTTTGAAAATTGTAAAATAAGTATAAAAGACAATAGGGTTTAACATTGAATTCCAGATTTGATGTGATTGATGATTTTTAGCTAGGCTGAATCCTCTCACCAACAACAGACTGAACAGTGCCTGTCTTCAGTATTTTTGTGGATGTGAATTCAAAAGTGAAAAAATGTTCATATTAAATATTTAATCAATTGCTCATACCCATAACATTTCTGAAAATACAGTACCAATATTGATGGAAGTGCGATAACTCTTGAAAATTAAATCCATCGATTATACAAGTCATGTATCAGATCAACAAAAGAAAAGTATAATCATCTGGTTTCATACTTGTATCGATATCTTTGACTCGAGAAATGACAAACTGGCATCAAGACTAATCTGATAAACATGATGACCAATTTTTCTAACTTCTTCTTCTCTTTTTAATTAAACAACTTGCGCCTTTCTAATTTATTTAATTCCTTTTTACATAGCAATGCACCATTATTAACTGCATATATGGAGTTAATGTATATAATTATGATAAAGCGTTAGATTTAATGAACAAATCTGGAACTCATTCATTTGATTAACTTGAAAATTGTCCATAAATCTGGTTTTAAAATAACCTGGTTAAAAGGAAAAAAAAAATAAATGTAAAAGCTTAAATTGTAAAGTAAGAACAGTCACAGATCGTCATATTCCTGAGGGTCTGACACAGCCACTGATCGGAAAGTTAGGCCCTTGTCCACGTCTTTCAGGTGCGAAATAAATCTGTTTAAATACTCTGTTTCCTCTAACGTCTGCATCCGTTTCATTGCTTCCTGTCCGAATTCTTTGTTTAACATTCTTTTCATGGAAGTGTACTTTTCCTCAATTTCTCTAAAACCACTTCGCAGATATTCAGTCCGTGTGTGTAATTCTTTGGCCTCCGAGATCAGCTTTACGACCCTTTCTGTCAATGCATCAATTTCTTGCCTCTCCTTTGCAAAGTACTCACTGCATTCGCTTTGATTTGATCGTAACTGGTTCATTTGCCTGTACAATTTTTTCAAATCGTCGTCGTTTTCATCTTGGTGTCCATAGGACTTATCCATATCTATAGAAAGAGTTTTCCTAATTATGACAAGAAAAGAGCGTAACGTTTTCTAAAATACGAAATTGCGGTGAACAATCAACTGACGTCATAGCGCGCCAAACAACTTGACGTCGTAATGCGCCAAAGCTCGGTTACCTTGACTAAATGGCGTAAATACATTCTGCAAAATGCCGGAGGATAAGCCCTCCCCTTCTGAAGTGGTCAAAGCCCTTAAATGTGGAGTCTGTTGGTCGTATTTCAACAAACCACACACTCTGAAATGTGGTCATAGCTTTTGTTTGAGGTATGTATCACAATAATTTTTTATTAATATGTATAAAGAGTAAACTACCCCAAATTATGTTATATCGTATAATATAAGTTGAAATAAGCTCATTCCTTAAGTAAGTAAAATCATTATTTGCAGTGTCAAACGTGAAAAAGTTGTACGCATCTTTCTATATTACAGTCAAGTCATGTATTTGCTATCGAAGTGTTTATGTATAAGTATCACATTTCTTTAATAGTATGCCTGATTTAAAATTGTTGTTTCTGTTGTTGTCCTCGGGAACGTAGCGCGTTTCTATTGAAATCAGTGTCCGGATTTTTTTTTTTTTTTTTTTTTTTGAATAGTTCTGAGAAAGGTATTGTGTAATATTTACTGATCTTCCTTTGCGATTCCCCAATGTTATCTGGTTTTATAATAACAAAATTCTAAATACATGTAATTGTATGACCAATCTTCTATTTTTATCTTTTTAGATGTCTCTACAAACTGTGCAGAGTTGCACGAGAAAACAGTGATCATGTTATGCTCTCATTGCTCAAATTTCCATGCCCCACATGTAGGTCACCCATGCGTGTTCGATACATCTTACAGCGTCACGCATGCGTCAATTATGCCATTCAAGAGTATGTTAACCATTGGAAAAAAGAACGAAATCACGTAAGGGTAACATTTTGGTTCTTGGTTTCATTTAACTTAAATTATTTCTTGTACATGACTAAAAACAAGGATATAAACAATGATTTTTTTTTAATTATTAATGTTAAAATAGCAATTACTTTACGCTGATTGATTTCCATCCCGGGAGTGTAACCATTTGCGCACACATGACACGATTTGATACTCTGATTACTATTAGAAGTCAGGCACGTAGCAACAGGGGGGGTGGGGGTGGGGCACGGGGGCATCCCCCACACACTCCCCCCCCCCCCCCCCCCCCCCCCCCCCCCCCCCCCCCCCCCCCCCCCCCCCCCCCCCCCCCCCCCCCCCCCCCCCCCCCCCCCCCCCCCCCCAACATTACTCTTAATATTGGAAATGCTCATTGAAAGTCTGGTTGACCCCCTCACTTTATACTACAGGAAACTGATATCAGGGAAATATAATATTGTATACGTAGTGCCCCAAGAAATTGGTTTTGAAAGAAGTTGGGCTCTTGTGAATATTTTAATAACAACTACATGAATAAAACATCTTTTTTTGAAAAAAAAAATATGCATCATCACTTAATATTTTCATGTTCATTGCTTTTAGGTCCGAGAAATGCACCAGTTAAAAGTGCGGTCTGTTGGATGTCAGAACTCATTTAATGAAGAGCAGGATGTCACGCTTGACTGGGATAATGAACACTCCCCTGTGTCAGCCGTAGAGTATAATCACGTGACCACGAGACTTGACGTCTCGTCCTTTCTGTCAGATGTCGCCACCAGTGTGTCGTCTGTTTCCTGCGCAGAGGTTTCAGAGGTTGAAAGCGAATTCACCGTTGATACATCCACGGAAGATTCCGAAGACTTTGACTTCCACATCGGGAATCGTGATGGCCGAGGTCGGTTTAGAGGTCAGGGAGCACGTATGGCCGTTGTAAATTTTTTTGAAGACATTGCTTTCACTTTTCGAGACATGTTTCGCTCTCCAAATCGCTCGATTATGGCCTTGATTTGGTGTGGTTATACGTTTTCAATAATGCTCATTGCCAATGGTTTCTTTCCTTACATGATTCTGTATAGTTTATTGTTCATTCTCATTCTGTATGCAGAGACCGTCCAGCAGCGGAGAAGGTGAATAAAAAAAACAAAAACTAAAAAAGAGAATTGTCTTAAGTTTATTCTTTGACATTGTTTCTTTGGTTAAACTTCGGGGATTCTTTACAAGGGGCTTGGTTTAGCCATAACATATAAATTATACTTATTTTACATCTAAACTTAGATGAAATCAATTTACGAGTACAGAGTATAAAAGTTAATGCTACAGTACTTAAAAGGCTGTTCACCACAGGGCTTGTCTTCCGGATTGTTAAATGTAAAATAAATTTTAAAAATTTTGAATCTTCTTTAAATACACGTAAAAGTTGTTAAAATAAAGATCATGACACTTTCAGGCAAGAAAAACCAAAAGAGTTTATGTATATAGGTGTGGTACGTCGTTTTTAAACGTGGTTTTTCTTGCCTGAAAGTGTCAGGATCTTTATTTTAACAACTTTTAAGTGTATTTAAAGAAGATTCAAAATTTTTAAAATTTATTTTACATTTAACATTCCGGAAGACAAGCCCCTATGGTTCACCAGAATCAAAGCTAGTCGTCCAGTGATGGAAGAGACTTATTTGCAAGATATTACATGTTAGCTGACAAAAGTCGATCAATATGTGTGAGAAATGTATATCAAATTTACTACATCTGTGCGCTGATTTTTCACTTTTTCACTTTTGTTGTTGATAATTTAATTAAATTACCTGGTACATTAAAGGTACATGTAGGTTTCGATAATAAAACTCCACTACATGCATATATGTGTCTGTTTAAATCTGTAGATATGTATGTTCAGGTAAGAGATAAATTTCATCATACGATGATCTAGTTGACAAATTCGTGTGTGTACATTTCTCATATTGAAACAGCTGATTAAAGAATGTGGTGTTGATTAGAATAAAAATACAGCTGAAATGAAGGACACAGTCTTTTGGGAATATTTCTCAGACATCATGTAAGTGTATAGTACAATTTAGAGTAATAATTAATCTTAACTAATAAAATAGACAACCATTTACATGTAGGATTGAGTCACAATTATATCCTAAATTATTTCTAAATAAATTTAAAAAAAAATGTACTCCTTTACTCAGATAGCAAGATAGTGTTTGAGTATAGGTATACGTTGGCGTACGGTCATTTTGTTCATTGACCCAACGTACATGTATACATGTATGATATATTGTTGGGGCAACGTGAATATTATTTTAAGCCAAGTCAAAGCCATCCTTAGCAACTGATTCAGTTTAGTTGCATGGCCAGATGTTGGTTTTCAGATGAATAGTAGGCGAAATAACAGCAAGCAAAGAAACAATATTTGCACTTGGTATAAAGGTTGGCCAAAGTTGCATGACGCGGGTCCATTTCAGACGATTGGTCCTATATTTACAATTTGGCCTATAAAGCTTCTTTTTGGCAAAGTAACATTGGTTCAAAGTTTTCTACCCAACGCCGACCATACCATGATTTACAAACATACAGTCATATGTAGTCATACTAACTAGATAAAATATGTGCACTAGCTTAAATCTTTATATCCACGAAATTCCAAATAAGGATAGCTGAGAGCATCTGCTATTTATACATGTACATGTAGCTCGATTGGAAGGTAGAAGATAGTATACTAGTATATATACTCAGTAAGCGTTCAGAGAGAGAGAGAGAGAGAGAAGCAAGTGCAAGTGAATTAGACGTCTGCGAAAACAAGGCCTTGTTTGAAGCCACACCTCATCTGTTTGTCTGTTTGTTTTCTGTATCTTTAACATTATGTTTTTGTGCATATGAATTGTACTATAAATATGTGTACTAGTACTCTCTGTCAACTCTATTCGATTTCTTGAAAGAAATCACCAGATGAACTTCAAGGATTAGTTTAATCTTAATATTTGATGATAATAAATGTACTAAATATTACCCTCTATCTTAGTCCCACGCGTATGCTCAGGACTGAAAGAAAAATTGTTTGCAGTTGCCTACCGACCCACTGAAAATGCACCCCATGCACCGTAACAAGTTTTTTTTTTTTTAAGTTTTCATGATACCACGTATAAATACAATCTACAGTATGAAAGTTGTTTCATATTCTATTTTTGATTATTCAGTTTATCAACCACTGGCTTATAAAAAGTGAAGTTTAAACTTTTTTTAAAAAGAAAACTAGAGGTACTGTGAGCAATGAGCTCACTAAATGATACCCCCCGCCTTCCATATGGTTATAACTGATGACAAAGTCCATGATTTGCCATGGCCGGGAAACCCAAAATATGTGTCAGATCAAAAAGTAAAATAGGAGGTGCACAATGGCAATATATGTAATAAAGATTCTGTGAAAGTTTCATTAAATTTCATTCAGTGGTATAAGAGGAGTTGTGGATAAGAGATGGGTACCCTAAAGCGTAACAGACGGACGGACAGACGTACAGACGGACGGACGGACGGAATTAACGATTACTATATACCCTCCCGCTTTTCAAGCGGGGGGTATAAAAAATATTAACCATGCATTCTAAAAATTACAGGTCGACATATGACCTCTCATATGTTCGATAGTGGATTTATCTTGCTAGGACTATATCGCAAGTATGCAAAAGAAGTGGATGGCTTTGTTAATATTTCATAATTGTTCAATAACTATATTTGAAAGAACAGATGAATTTAGTAGCCTTGGAAAGGGAGGGGGGTACCATGACCACATTTTAATGGACAAGGATAAAAGATAAGAAGTCTCAATTGATTGAAAAGCTATCGCTTATCGTTCACGCATTGAATTAGATATAAAATGTTTGCTCTCTTGCTATTTTCTTATTATCAAAGATAACGCGGTCAAACTTCATTCTGAACAACGCAGTAAAAACTATTTAGAGTATCCGGAATTTCATATTCCGTAAGTTTTGGGGTTGTCGTTTTAACGAAAGTGTAAACTTCCTATGCCATTTTGACACTTGATGCTAAAAATATTGGGTAAGGCCACCGTTTTTAACAGGGTCACCTAATTCTTCTACTTCGTATTTTTGTTGTTTTATTTCTTTAAGTCATGTTGTAGCTACTGATAATATTGACAATCGTCTAATTAGAACCCTGTAAATTAGTATGTTGACATTCGTAAATGCTACTTGGTAATGGAAGAATTTACAACTACTGAACTAGGTCAGTTTTTTGTTTACTTATTCATATATAGTGTTCATAGATCTTCTTGCTGTTATAAATAACTGACTTATCAACGAGTTGTTGGGTTTTATCATTTGTTGTTTTCTTGCAACTTTTTAATCCATTTTAAGTTATGGTGCACCATGTTTTTTTCCTGTCTCTCGTTCTGAAACAAAAACTTTGTCATGTTTTATGTTACATAAAATTATACGGATATCATTTAGAGCTCATTTATGTCAAGGTTTTGTGTACATCAAGTAAGATTCATTTAAAGACCTTTATAATTAGGCATTGAAAAATCAATGTAACTCAGGGGGAAATGTGTCAGTCAATTGAAAGATTACTGTTTAACCAAACAAGTTTTCCAATATTTTTATTAATATGAAATTGTTTTGCAGCTGTTGATGTAACAATTTGTTTATGTATTACTTTATTTTAAATCATAAAATTTCATCAATCTTATTTCTGTACGGTACATCGTTTTAAGTATAAACAGCTAGAGGCTCTTCTTTGTCAATTAAGGTACATGTAGATTGCGGGTTTACCATCAGCTTCAACTTCAGTGTGGATACTCACAAAAATCCATAAGGACATTTATCAGCGAGGACTATGTACATGTGTGCAGTGGAAAGTCCAAATGTAAAAAAGGCTACTTTTCTGTCAGAAAACTTACGCTGAAAATTTGTCAGCTACATGTAAATCGTTGCATTTCAAATTTCTTTTTCTGAAAATATTTTGAGATTGGTCTGCATGGTTTTATTGTAATTGTATTTCAAGTGTACAAATGTTGATGAGAACCGATGACACTATCTCAATGAAATATATTGTAAAATGTGTCTTTCACATTTATATACACAATTCAAAACTATGCCTTTAATACAAAGTTTTATAATTTTCAAATAATCTTATTTTGTATTTTCATACGGATTTTATATTATGGAAATGTGATATCATTATTTGTGTATGCCTTTGTGACAAGAAAAAATAAAGAATTAATCAAGTAAGCTAGAACTCGCTCAAAGTAAAGCATGTAATACGTAAATTGAATTTTAACTGATGGATTATATGTTCATGTAAACATTGCCATAGTTTAACCACAGCAAAGCACTATTTCAGAGAATCATATTATTTTCTCAGTAAATTCAAGCAATTTTGAAAAATTGGAACAAATCTCTATGTATATTTAAGAAAAAAAGTATCTTATTGGATTCAAGAGCATTTGAAAAATGTTTTAAGGTATTTCCATCCTTCTGTGATGTCATAGATTTCTGCAAAATCTGTTATTAATTTAAATTCATACCTGATACATGTAGAACATTATCTTTTTTGCAAAAATGCTTTTAAAAAAGGTGTAATGATAAATATTGTTTAGTAAAAGAATTTTTAGAATGTATATTTAATCAATTATTCAATCTTTAAAAATGTTGACAAGGGCAATAACTCCCCAGATATTTTTATTCGGACATTTTCTTTATTGTACTGATGTAAAATACCTTCCACAATTCTATAGTATCTTATAAGTAGCAAGTATATTGGAACTTTCAGCATCAGAATTATGCATTTGAACCAGTTTTTACAAAATATTTTTGTGTACTGTTTACAAAAAATGTACAATTTTTTTATGTTGACATACACTTTAGTTTATTTATGTCTCTTATCTAAAATAATATGCCAACCTATACATTTTTTGCAATAATTGATAAATTTAAACTATTTTAAATTTAAAAAAAATACAGTTTTTGTATTTTGAATCATTAAAATTGTGAGAATGGAACGACCTTAAAATTAGTGTTACAGTATCTGTGTTTCATCCTGTTGAAAATATTTATTGCTTGTTAGTAGTTTGATAATGTAAGCCTGGTAAGCTTTCTTTGTTTATGGTTGAATCCTATTTTTGACATCAGCAAACCTGCGATCTACCTTCATAAGCACATCTTAAAAGAAGTGATTTACGTCCATTAAAAATAGTAGGTGGATTCAATCATAATGCTGGCAAGCCAGATAGCTCAGTTGGTAAAGTACCTTGCTAGTGAGCTCGGTTCAAATTCTGGTCTTTTCAATTGCATTTTTTCGCCTCAATGTCATTTTTATATATCTTATGAAAAATCAGGATTTGTTTATATTTCGAGATTATCTGCTATTGATAAGACTGAAGTACAGGTCATATCATAGGGACATTTACTCGTATGTTTCAGGCCGTCTCTGATAATGCCGAAGGACCCCCCTCTTGTCAAGAGAGACGATGTGAAAAAGAAAGTGAGCAAAAGGCTGGGGCAGAAGAGGGAGAAGTACCTCCCCGAGAGCCTCCCCCTGCTTCTGCCCCCCTGTAAGATCTGTGGGAAAAAGGCCTCAGGGATACATTATGGGGTCAATACGTGTGAAGCATGCAAGGTATGTATTGTGTTAAAATATTATACACAGTGGTTTAATCTATAGTAAAATGGTTCATATCTTTTTAAGGTTTATATACTGGTATAGATATGTCATCAAGCTAGATAAATCAGAAATGGACATTTAAGACCTATAATCAGTACAAACTTGAGTGCATAAGGCCTATTCAGACACTGTCAAGAAAATATAGGAATGATAATGTAATCATGTGCAAATATATTATTATATTATGTAATATGATGATATTTATAACTCTTCTGCATAGATGAGTCACCCACAAAACTAAGTCCCTATATACATTATACCAATGTTATTTTTCTTACCCATGAAAATTTACCCACACAAATTAAATGATTACACAATACCTTAGTGACTGACTTTTTACCTTCAAGGAACCAAGAAATTTTATGCTGTAGAAAACTAAATTACTTTAAAAAAGCAGTTTTAATTGCTTTATGCTTTTAAGACTTGTAATGAAGATGGTTATAAAAGAATGATGTAGGTGCACATGTACCTTATTTTTGTATAAAAGTGAAGAAGCCATGCAACCTTAAAATTATTAAATAATATTTTTTCCCCTGGATCTCCATACTCGGAATAAAAAAAAACCCCCAAAAACATTGGCTCAGTGCTGCAGGGTAGGTGGAAAATGTTATTTGCCTTAGAAATTTTAAATATCAATGCTGAATTTTCAATGTACATGCCTATAAAAATTGAGGGTATATATATTAAATTTTAAAAAATCTGGATTGAATACAGTAAAACTCGTTTAGTACGAACACAGATATAGCGAATTCACGGATATAGCGAAGTTTTTCTGGGTCCCCGGCAAAATTCTTAACAAATCTTTGTAAAATTTTACGGTTATAACGAACTCTGATATAATGAATTTACGGATATAGCGAACCGATTTTGACTCCCATTGAGGTTAAATATAAAGAAATTTACATCTTTTATAACGAACTTTCAAAGATTATAAGAAAATGATAAATTGAACTTACTTTATTTCCTTTTAGCATTTGTATATAAAACTCAATTCATAAGAAAACCTCAGTTATCGAAGAGATATTTTGTTATATTTGCTTCACTAACATAGTTGGTAGTAATACTTGAAAGAAAACATGCATAGTGCGAATTCGCTATAATGGTAATACGAATTCGTTATACGGATATAACGAATTATGGATATAGCGAATTAAATTTACAGGTCCCCAGGACTTCACTATAACCGAGTTTTACTGTAAAAAGATATTTCCTGAAGATTTAAAGAAAATTGAGCTATTTTAGCCAGTCTGGCAAACAGATTTTTTAAATGATGGACTGAACTAAAAATCATAAAATGTTATTTACAGGGATTTTTCAGAAGATACTTAAAGAGGAAAGATCCCTACATTTGTAGTAAAGGCTGGGACTGTGACTTAGAGAGTAAATCTAAGGGACCCCATTGTTCAGCTTGTAGAATGAAGAAATGTCTCGCCCTGGGCATGTCAAAAGAAGGTCAGTAATTGTTTTTGTTTGTAATTTAATCATATGGTTATTCAAAGATCTAAGTAACATATAAATGAAAAAAATTCACTGAATTGTTTTTTTGTATCTTGATATCAATATTAGGAATACTTTGGATATATACAAGGGAGTGTAAAGTCGATCATTACCACTTTTTAGCTCACCTGAGCCAAATGTTCAAATGAGCTTTTCTGATAAAAAAAAAATGTCCATCGTCTATCATCGTTGTTGTCGTCAGCATTGTCATCGTCGTAAACTTTTCACATTTTCATCTTCTTCTCAAGAACCACTGGGCCAATTTCAACCAAACTTGCCACAAAGTATCCTTGGGTGAAGGGAATTTAAGTTTATGCAAATGAAAGGCCATGCCCTCTTCCAAGTGGAGATAATTAGGAATTAGTGAAAAACTGATGGCATCTTTTAAAAAATCTTCTTTTCAAGAACCACTGGGCCAGGAAAGATGAAACTCACACAAAAGCATCATCTGATAGTGTAGATTCAAGTTTAGTCAAATCATGACCCCCGGGCATAGGGTGGGGCCACAGTGGGGGATCAAAATTTAATATACCGGGGTAGGAATACATAGGGAAAATATTTAAAATTCTTCTTCTGAAGAACCACTGGGCAAGGAAAGATGAAAATCAGGTTGAAGCATCTTCATGAAGTGTAGATTCAAGTTTGAACAAATCATGACCCCAGGGGGTTAGATGGGGCCACAGTGGGGTATCAAAGTTTAAGTAGGAAACATCTTTAAAAATTTTCTTTTCAAGAACAGCAAAGCTATGATTGGTCATAGTTATATTGAAGCATCCTGTAGTGTAGATTCAGGTGTGTTCAAATCATGACCCCTGGGGCTAGGATGGGGCCATAATGGGTGATCATGTGTTTTAAGAAGGAATTACATAGAAAAAATCTTTGAAATTCTTCTTCTTAAGAACAGCAAAGTATGATTTTTTCATAGTTATATGGAAGCATCCTTGGGAAGTGTAGATTTAAGTTTCTTCAAATCATGACCCTTGAGGGTAGAGTGGGGCCACAATGGATGATTAATGTTATTATGTAGGAGTACATGGGGAAAATCGTTAAAATTCTTCACAAGAACAACAAAGCCAGGAAGTATAGATTTAAGTTTGTTCAAATACACCCCCCCCCCCCCCCCCCCCCCCCGCTTTCCCCTTGGCCCACTTTTATTTTTAAACTTTTCAATACTGAACTGATTTTTGATTTTACCTCTCCAGTTGCTCAGGTGAGCGATGTGGCCACTAGGCCTCTTGTTTCTTGTGTTATTGTAGCAGTTTACATGTAACATTAGTATAGTATCTCAAATCCTTAGATATGATAACTGTGATATATTGTTAAGGGAAAAAATATAACCTATTTTTTTATCACATTTTTTATATAACTAAGAAACCATTTAATATTTTTACCATGCAGGAGTCAGACAGGGACGTTACACATTAACAGAGCGAACAAATCGAATCTTAGCATTCAAAAAATCTCAACAAATGGAAAGTGATGAATGGGACAGTTACAGCTCCGGATGTAATCCAACTGAGTCAGAAATAAAAGACAGTAATTCCGGATGTAATCCAGATAGACCAATAAAAAGTGAAAGTGATGGAAGCCATACGGATATGAGTTGTGGTACATCCACTGACATAGACTCGCTGAGTGAGCGTCTCCACAACACATTCTACGACAATTGTTCTAAACACTCAATGTCACTCGAGTTGTCGAGTTTGACAAAACACACCGGTGACAGTCCGGGCGAATATAGTAGCGCTGAGTCCGTGTGTTCACCTGCAGGGAAGTGTTCGTCTAAGAATCCGGATTCCCCGGAGGGTTCGGATTTACCTGACGTGCAGGAAGTGGTGGACACTCTTGTGAAGGCCTATAAACATTTACAACATTTCACTCAGTCAATCACTGACGAGGAGATCAAACAGAGACTTGAAATAGGATATGTAAGTATAGATTTAGTATTATATAAATATTGCATGTAGTTGAGTGTAACATTGAAAGTTTCACCCCAAGAAAAGCATTGTCAACTGAGGTGCAGCCGAGATTGACAATGGTTTTCGAGGGGTGAAATTTTTTAATGTTACACTTACCTTCATGCAATATTTATTATCATATGGAATGTTTTAGCAGTGAAACGTGTGCATATAAATTCTGCCCAGTCACTTATTGGAATTACACCTGTCGTCAAGCAATGTTGACTGGTGCTACGCTGGAAAGCATGGTTCATAATACAGCTGGTAATACTATTTTTTAACAAATGTTTCTAGACAAATCAGATTCAACTAATTTACATGAAAGAATAATATAACACATGTTGAACTTTAAGTGTTATCACTGCCTAAGCTGCTTCATATATTTTGGTTAATCTTTGTGAATTAAATAGGCTAAGAAAACTAGGGTCGTCCACAGGTCTTATAATTGAAATAAAAGAGGGACATTGCAAAAAAAATAACAGGGTGTTTGGGTTACTTCCCTAGTTGAGGTTGAGGGGCAATGCCAAAAAACCAAGATATTAAATTATATCTTTATGCCAGTTTGTGGACAGGAAAATTCCATGGCCCTCAGGTCTTAATGACTTATGGACAACCCTTCTACTAAGAGAGGGGGGAAATTTAAACATGTTGAATTCAAAGAACATAGCATAATCTCTTAAACATAACTATGACTGGGTGAATTTAAAATGGGCCAAAACTGTTTGCAAGTTTAAAAGGCCATAATGATATCCCTGTATGCAGTAGCTCACAATTGTGTTATTTTATATAAATTAAGGCAATCAATATGAAACTTCCTTGAAATTCAGAAAATAGGGAAAGGTATTTTGTACGTTATAAAACGTTCATGTATTTTTTTTTATTACATTATGTGCGTATAAAGAATCTCAGCATTTATAAAACAAAGTTAATTCCAGGCAAGACATATGGATAAAATTACTCTCTTCGGAAACATGGACCCCATTCCCACCAAAGAATACAACGAGATCTATGAGAAAACAAATATAGATGTGGACAGTCGCACTCAAAATTCCAGCACCCGACGAGAAGAATTTGGGCTGGCCATGGCTGATTATGTAGCCTTCAGTAACGAGATACCTGGATTTAATGAGCTTTCTGCTCGAGACAAAGCCAATTTAGTTAAAGGTAAGTTTTTTTCTTTTGCATGTTCTGTATTAGACCCAGGATTTAATGAGCACTTTTGTAAAATAAAATCAAACCATTATCCGGGGATGATAATTAATGTTATAATGGATGAAAAAAGCTCCTAGATACCAAGTTAAAATTGTTTATCCTAATGATATTTTTAGTATTTTTTATTCTGTTAACATTGAAAATTGTTAAAAACTGTACTTTTACATTTTATTCAATTACTTTCAGCATCTCGATTAGATTTTTTCCTCATTCTTGAGTATCGAGCCAAAGACCCTGAGACTGAGATGATGATCTCATACTCGGGCCGAGCTGCTCATCTCTCGGAGGCCTGCGCTTATCTCCCAAAAGACCTCCTGAAGTCCTGGTGGAACCTCACTTATGATCTCAGGAAACTTCAACTAACTACAGAGGAGCATGCAGCCCTTTTAGCCCTGTGTCTGATGTCAACAGGTAATGATAACTCAGTCCTTTTCAGGGTTCTCCACATTTGAAAATTTAACCATGGAGGAAGCTGCGTGAAGACAAAATGTGACCAAAAACACGAATGCGCGTTAGACTTCATAATCTTCATAAATCAATGACTGGTTTTACAATTTGTAAACTTTACCATTGCAACACAAAACAATGGAATAACTAACTCTGTTTAAAGTAAAAAAAAATTAGGATTAAAATTGAAAAGGATTTATCCTGTATTTGAACTCACAAATGTACCAGAATTTGCCCAAAACTGTATAGTAATCTTCCGAAGGAATTAAAAAAATTGTTGATACATTAACCATGACAATATTAATATTATTCAGAAATTAATAATTGTTGTAGGCTATTGTATGAAATGTTTTGTTTAAATATGACTAAAACTGATGAATGGGTAATTTTTTTAAGTAAACACACAAAAGAACAATTGGATAAGTGTCCTTTTTTTCTAAGCATTCTATTTTTCTAGATAATGCGTTTTTCACCAAGTTTTGTTTACTTCTCCACATGCCCCAGAGCTAAAAATAGCGCCAAGCGACGTCTCATAACAACGGGAAGTAACTCTAAAAATAAGACGGCGATTGACACTTAGGTCCTATGCACATTTTATCGAAAAAACATAGCATGGGAAATTAATTAAATACAGAGGAATGTGGATTTTTTACAGAGTATTTTTGGGCTAATATCATCAAGATTGCCGACGTTAAAAAAAAAAAATTTAGTTTCGACTGCCCTGGCTCAAATGTGTGTCTACTACGAGACATCGTTACTATGTCTTTGAATTCTTGTAAATCTTTTAATTATTATGTAGTGAACTGAACACCATTAGAATTCAACAAAATAATGTGTAATACAAAAATACAGAGCCCCGATAACAGTAGTTTATATAGGCCTAGTAGATAACTACTCATACTGTTAAAACACCTGGCCGACCGACCTTTGATTCATGAATTCTCACGCTTCACGGCACATTTGCAGCTGATCAACCATGGGTAATTAGCACTATTACCTGTCCCCGTGCGCTTGGGGGGCTTCACACCACGACTTGTATAAACACAATTAACTACTCAGATAGTATATTGCAGGTGTCATCTCTGAAAATCAAGTTTTAAATTCTAAAATTTAACCATGGCGGGCGCGGATTTTAACCATGGCGCAGCAAATTTAACCGTGGCACACACAAATTTAACCATGGCGCACCTCCATGGTAAAACCCTTTGTGGAGAACCCTGCCTTTTAGCCCTGTGTTGTATGTCAACAAGTAATGATATCTCAGAATCTTATAGCCTTGTGTCTAATGTCAACAGGTACAATGTAAAGATATTTCAGCCTTCTTAGCCATGTGACTAATGTCAATAGGTAAAGATATTTTAGCCTTTTTAGCACTGTGTCTAATGTCAACATGCAATGATATGTCAACCCTCTTAGCCATATGTCTTATGTCAACAAGTAATGATATCTCCGCCCTCTTAGTCCTATGTGTAATGTCAATAGGTATAGATATCTCAGCCCTTTTACTCTATTTCAACAGGTAAAGATATCTCAGTCCATTAAGCACTTTGTCTAATGTCAACAAGTAATGATATCTCGGCCCTCTTAGCCATTTGTCTATTGTCAACAGCCAGGTTAAGATATCTCAGCCCTTTTGGCACTGTATCTAAGGTCAACAGGTAAAGATATCTCAGCTCTTTTAGCACTATGTCTCATGTCAACATGTATTGATATCTCAGCCATTTTAGCCCTGTATCTATTGTTAACAGGTAATGATATCTCAGCCCTCTTTGCCATGTGTTATATGTCAAAAGGTAACGATATCTCAGCCCTTTTAGCCATGTGTCTTATTCAACAGGTTATGATATCTCAGCTCTCTTAGCCCTGTGTGTAATGTATAGGTAATGATACCTCAGCCCTTTTATCACTGTGTCTAATGTCAACATGCAATGATTTCTCAACCCTGTTAGCCATGTGTCTTATGCCAACAGATAAAGATATCTTAGCCCATTTAGTACTTTTAAGCTCCACCCACTGTGTGACGTACATGGTCCAACATCTCATTAACAGGTCTATCATCACAATCAGTGGGCAAACATCAATTCTTTTATGTCCGCTCAGGAAAACTTTACAAATGTTAGACTTTTTTCAGATAGGTTTGTATAAGAACAAATTCTAAAAGGTATAACTACACATTTTGTGTTTTTTTTTCTGCAGATCGTTGTAAAGTAGAATCCCCCAAGACAGTTCAGAAGATAGAGAGTGTTCTAGTGAAAACCATAATGGCCCTTTTAAAGTCTCGCCACAAAAGCCGGGCAGGGCACCAGTTTTCTGCCTTTATCAGCCTGCTGACTAAGCTTCGAGGAATCAGTGAGGAATATCATGCCGTTTATCGTAAGATTTGTGAGGACAAGGTTCTTATAACAAGGGCCCCTGAATTACTGGCCATGTTGTTTGATGAATGACAGAGGCATAATTTTAGATGAATTGTTAACTGTTACTATGTTTTTTTAAAATTTGATTTATTACTATGGAGTCATTTAAATCATTAGCTATAGGGAGGGGGTGTCATTATATGTGGTATTTATGTGGATCAGTTTTCCTCTTTGAGTTTTTAAAACTCAATGTATAGTAGCATTGCAGATTTACTGCATTGTTACAACCTTGTAGTGTACATAATACATGTTAAGGAGATTTTAAAATGTTAATTTTCTAAAAGAAATGTTTACCTGTATCTTTAGACAAATTAAAAAAAAATCACAACCTTTAATGGAGCTTTGGACTCAAAACTGGTTTGCAACAATCTTATATATCATATATTATAGTTTTTAACTAATTATTATTACAGTAATCATGTATAAGCTTTGTTTTAAACTTAATTTGTCTGATCACACATCGTCCTATGTCCCTCTGACTGTCCATAAACGTTTTTACATTTTTTCTGAAAGCATATATCTGTATATCATCATCAGGGCCTAGTTATATCATTCCAAATGTTATATATTTGTATACTGTGATGGGAAAATTATACCAAAGTTTTAATATTAAGTAAACATACGTATGGTGTCTTGATGTTTTGAAGTGACAATGGATAAAAGGCAGCTTTGATTTTGTATGATGTCTTTGTATATAGAATGTCTTGGGTATACATGCATGTGTATCTTTACTGGGTAAGGTTACATTTTGTTTGGTAATGCAGGCAATATGAATCAATTTGTCACACTTGTATTTATGTGCATGGATTTAATCCCTATAAATTTCATTTTTTATAACTATATATTTATATCAGTTTAAAAAGTGTTTCAATTTTGTGTGAATATTGATTGGCCATGCAAGGTGCTCAACAACATAACTAAAGTTTTCCAGGAATAAAAAAAGTAAATGTTAGGAATGAAACAAGGTAAAAAATGATATTCTTGCTTTTGTTTAAAGAGGAAATGAAACAAATAAAACTTTTCAAAATCAAAGGGACAAATCTCTGATGAAAATGTTCATCTATATAAAATTTTATTAATCCTTAGAATAAGTATTAAAGGTATATATTCTATTAAAAGAATCAACATTAATTCAAACAGTTATTTAAGATTCAGGCATACAAAAAGCATCTAAAGATGCATAGTAAGAAGTAACACTGTATGTCAAGATCACATGATAGCAGTAAAAAATTCATGTAAGAAATGGCACCTACTCCTACCTCTGATGTTTTATATGTCCATGTTTGTTCTCTTGATTTCTATTGTGTAATGGACTTTTGAGCTTCATTACTGTACGAGTATTATCTCCATATATTTATGTGTAATACAAAGTCCATCATTGTATGATTTTCACAACTTAAGTGCAGGTTTCTGATTGTACAAATTATGGACCCTGTAGGACTAGATTTGAGATAATAAGTTTTCCCAAGAAGTCATTTTGATATACCGGTAAGAATACATTAACTACAAAATTGATTGTGAGCATTGATTCCAGTTTGTATATGTACAGATCCTGGGTTTAGGGTACGTAAGGGTGCAATGTGAAAGGGGGGGTCGGGTTATTTACCTAAATCCTTTTTATTTGTGGAATATTTCAGTTTAGGATGTCTGCTGATTCTAGCACTGTGATTGTGGCAGCAGTAGAAGAAAATGTGCCATAAAGATTCCTGTAAAGTTATGTTTAGTAACTGCATAATGTACACTTGTGTTCGTTCTGTAATTTTGATGTGAATGCATGTTTATGGTGTAGATATTCATGTAACGTAAGGATTATACATTGTCCAACAAAACTGTAAGATTCGTTTTAATTTCTCTACAGATACTAGTAATATACTAGTATATATATTGTATGTACATGCATATTCAAAAATACTGTACATGTATATATTTAATTATTTCAAGTGTATGAAAAAATTATTTAGTGCAAACACAGTTGGGGACTACTAATGATGACTACATTTGAACCAGTGATATAATATATTGCTGTTTTTATGTTTTATACTAACTTTAAATCATTTTTCTTGGGATATTCTCAAATTTGTAGATGGAGGTTGAGACATCACTGTAAAATCATTTATTTTTTATGAGCGATATTTTTAGGTCACCTGAGTTTAAATTAGGTAAACCTATTTGTAAACTTTTATTCTCTGCAACCACTGAACCAGTTTCAACCAAATTTGGCACAAAGCATCTATGGGTGCATGAAGGGGAACGAAAAATTTGATTCCATCATCCCTTAAATTGTGAGGGGATTGGGGCCAAGAAAACCACTAAAATAATTGCAATCTTTAAAAATTGTTTTCTTTAATCCTGGATATCAAGCAGTTAAACTGTATGCATGATTGTAATCAGCATTGATTCCTCTACCAAAATTGTGAAATTCAAGGCCCTGGGGTCAGGGGTTCTAATGCTAGGGTGGGGCTAAATAAGTAAATACTGAAAATGCATTATGTCTTTGAAAATCTTCTTGTCTGCTCCTGGTTATTAAATAAGCAAACTAAGTACAAAGTTATGATGAGCAAGAGTCCCTCTACCAAAATTGTGAACTTTATGGCCCCAGGGTCAGGGGTTCTGGTGTAAGGGCGGGGCTTTATTGATTATATAGTGAAAATACATGAGTGCTTTGAAAAATTTTCTTCTCTTCTCCTAGGTATTAAATAAACTAAGTAAGTGCATAGTTATGATGAACAAGAGTGCCTCTACCAAAATTGTCATTTTTATGGCCCAAGGATCAGGGATTCTGGTGTTAGGGCGGGGCTCTATTTGATTATATAGTGAAAATACATGAATTCTTTGAAAAATCTTCTTCTCTGCTCCTAGGTATGAAATAAACTAATCAAGTGCATAGTTATGATGAGCAAGAGTGCCTCTGCAAAAATTGTGAATTTTATGGCCTCGGGGTCAGGAGTTCTGGTGTTAGGGTGGGGCTCTATTGATTATACAGTGAAAATACATTTAATCTTTGAAAAATTTCTTCTATGCTCCTGGGTATTAAGCAGATGAACTACCTATATAGTTATGATGAGCAAGGGCCTCAATCTTCCAGAATTGTGAATTTCAAGGCCCCAGGGTCAGGGGTACCATAGATAGGAGGGGGGCTGTACTTTTATACTGAAAATGAATGAATTGTTTGAAACCTGCTCCTTGGTATTAATCAAATATTTTTGAAAAGCAAGGATGCCTTTTCAAAAATTGTGCAGTGTGTGGATCTAGGCCTAAGGGTCAGGGGTTCATGTGTGGTAGGGACACTACTGATTATTGCTGAATATTACTGATTAGTTGAAATGGGTGTTTGTTCCCCTACCCTGCCTATTGGTATTAAGTAACCAACTGAAGCAACTGCTAAGTGTATAGTTATAATGATCAATGGTGCCTCTTTCAAAATTGTGAATGTCATAGCATGTCTTAAAACATGAATCAAATTCAATCACAGGACAGTTGTTGCATAATGCTCAGGTGACCTATAAGGCCCATGGGCCTCTTGTTATAGTTGGAGTAAGAATATTTGTTCGAGAAACTTTTATTTCATGGTTGAAGAATTTAAGACACGTCATACCTTATTCTTGAATTTAAATATTCGAGGAGGGCATGAATTTGTGTTTCTCTGTACTTTTAAAATATTGAACCCCCATGAATAATAAAGATTTCACCACTTGTCATATATTTTAAATCTTAATAAGATAGATTACTTAGAAAACAGTGCACAGTATATAATTCACAGATTTCATGGAATGAAATTTATTGACAATCACCAATCACTTAAAATGCAGCTATTTAATCCATTCACCTTTTAAACATAACAAAATCTTTAACCTCCATTACTGGGGTCATGATTGTCATTTTGATGGAGAGTTTGAGAGTTTTATTTCAATAAGATGAGAATTGTCGCCATTTTTTCTCTCTAAATTTTGACAATTGCCATCTGATTTTTTCCTTCGTTACAGTTATTATACATGTGAGCATTTTCTTAATTCAGGTTTTAACTTTGATTATATTGGTTAGACAGATGTGTTAATGTTTTCTTTATATTAGATTTAATTTTTATTAATTCATGAGAAAGGTCCAAAGATGTTTATAAGAAATTTGTTTTGTAAAACTACATGGGATTTAATTCCTTCAGTCTTGCAGTATTTGATCAGTTTGCACTTTAAACATTGTCTTATATACGAAGATTTTAACTGTTCTTGATATTTTTTAAAAAAGATTTTCAATTTTTATACTATTCTTGGCATTTGTATTAGGATTTTGAAAATTTATTAGTTAATAACGGTTGCTTGTATTCTTAATTACAGATCTTAAATAATAATAATAATACATGAAAGTGTAGCTATATGACAGATGTGTCAGTTTTATTTACATGTAGGTCATTATAACTGTATATAATTTTTACATTGTGAATATACACGAAATTTATGGTGTTACAATATAAGTATGCCTTAATTCAGGAAGATGATATTGCTATATCTATAACAGGTGAAGAATGTTTCAATTCGATTTATATGATACATATAATGTTTATCCTTGTTACATGTTTGTTATGGAAATTGGCCATAAAAACCATTAATAAATCACACGATACAATGCTTTGCTTTATTTTTTTAGTTTACATGATCTGAAAACTCTAATGAGCTTTCCTGAGCACCTGCTGTACGCCCGTCCCTCTGTAAACTTTCACATGTCAACCACTAGACCAAATATCAACCAAAGTTGCTACAGAGCATCCTTGGAAGAAAGGAAGTTAAAATTGTTAAAATAAAGGACCTACCTCCCTTACAGGATAGACACTGTGAAATCACTGTGAAATCACTAATTTTCGTAGGGATTTAATTTTCGTGGTAAAATGATACCCATGAATTTATATCCACTACGAAATGTAAAATTCCTTATATTAACTGCTCAACATTTCTTTATTTCTGAAATCAAATCCCTTCAAACCCTTTTTTTCGCAATCTAGAATATTTGACGCTACGAAAATGTGATTTTACAGTCATCAAGAAAAGGAATAAAATTGTGTGGGGACATTAAAAATATGCTAAGAACCACTGGGTCAGAAAATCTGCAACTTATATGAAAGCCTCCTGGGGACGCGGAAGTCTAAAATTCTTTAAAAAAAAAAAAATAATAATAATAATTAAATCATAACCCCAAGGGGTACGGTGTGGCTACAATAAGTATATCAAGGGGGGAAATCTGGCTTCTCAGATGAGCATTGTTTTTTTTTTTTTTATTATGCTTTAATAACAAAAAGGTATTCTTTTTAAATGGCCCAAATGTATATTAAACATATGTAAGTATAGGATATATTTTGCAGTATTGCATTTCATGATTTCAAAGATTATATTTTTAATTAACAAATATTACGAAAGCACAGTAAATGAGTACTTTAGTTTCTATATACCATTTACATTCAATCTCATACATGCCTCTACCTAAAATATTTAATTTTCTTAATCTTTCCTCTATACTCAGCAACGAACAGATTGTTACTTTTGTCCAGACATAAACCATATGGATACTTCAGATCACAGTTATCTATATAACACAGGAACTGTCCGTCCTGGTCTAGGATGTGGATACAGTGGTTATTACAGTCTGCTGTCAGGATCTGACTCTGGCTGTCTGTTGTGATACCACAGGGTTTAAATGGTTCCTTCTTTGTAGTAGAAGGATGACCAGTGTATCTAAATCGGAGTTTTCCAGCCTGATTGACCACCACTACAGCACCAGCTTCACAGTCAGCCACACAGATATCCAGGTTTCTGTTCTCACTGATGTATTTAATCAAGTTATTTCCTGAATACAGAGGTTTACCCTCCTCATCAAACTGGATTGTGTGTTTCTCTGTGGAGCCTGAGTAACGGACAAGTTTCGATCGTGTTTCATCATTACTGACCATAGTAATCAGAAGATCACCATGACACATCATCGATTACTGACATGGTAACCAGGAGATCACCAGAGGAGGTGACACAAAATTTACTATGTCTCCAGCCCTGTAGTCTGATCATCCCCTCTGTCTGTCCATTCTTCACTTTATTCACAGTCCTTGTTACCCAATCAGTGTAAACTAAATTCCCATCACCTGTCACTGCTATGTCAAGTGGCCTTTTCCCTGATTTTGTTTTGATTGTCTTGATAAGTGAACCTTGAATGTTAAAGCATTTCATATCACTGACTTTTCCACTTGTCCAGATTTCTTCTTCACTGAGACAGGTAACACTGCGGAGGTTTTCATACCCAGTATCTATAGTAGTGATAAGTTCTGGTTCTTCCAGCAGTTCTCCGACTGATGTCCCTGGTGTCTGCAGCATGTAGCCATTTTCATCTGTTGTAGTAGATAATGGTGAAAGAATTCCAATTAACTTATAAAGCTGTTCTCTGTCTACTGGTTGTGGATTAAAAATTGGCAGTGATACTTGAATTTTAGGAGGAAGCTTACTGAATTCTTTGTTTTTGGAGCTGTATTCTATGGTCATGGACACTTCATTGGATTCTTCAATCCTCTTCAAGTTGAGCAGAGTTTCTTCAATAAGTGATTGTAATTGTTTGATTTCTTCTGCATGTTTCTTCAATATGTCAAGGTGTTTTGTTTTAAAATCTTCAATTTCTTTTTTCATGGCATTGATGACATTGTCAATTTCTCTGTGCCATTGTTTTCCATGTTCTGTCACTGCTGTTGTAAGTTTCTCATATTCTCCATCCAAGTTAGCTATCTGTGTTTCTAGATCATTTGTGATTTCTTCATATGTAGGGGAGATAATGTCTTGTAATTCCTCTGTATCTTTTGCAATTTCATTTTTCTTTGAGTTGTAAACTTCTTCAAGGACTAAATATTTATGTCCTTCATGCTGTTTTGATGCTGAGCATAAGGCACAAATAGGAATGTCACATTCCTTGCATTGTTATTCAGAGGATTTGGTTGGATGTGTTGCACACTTAGGATATATCAAGGTGGATTTTCTTTCTTGGAATGGGACAATTTGATGTTTACTGTAGCCATCCGTAATGTGTTCACCAATACAGGGTTTACAAAGGTTGACATGACAGAAATCACAGTACATCTGTACTATAGCTGTCTCACACAGGTCACATCTGATCACATCCTGGGCACTTTGCTGGGGGTCCATAGTAACTTATAGAGTTCTGCAATGAGAATTATTTTAATATAAACATTCCTTTTTAATTAAGTTTATTATCATAGTAATCACATATTTAAAGACGATGAAGTGTTTGAATAGAAAAAAAATAACAATGGGAATTTTCATACATTTGTTTAATCATTAGGACTAATATATATGGTTTAATTCCTCTTAATTTACATTCTTGCAGTTTTAACATAACTTTTTTATCTCGGAATCATGATAATGGTGGAATGCCTTGGGGGCAAATTGTTATCTTTGGATGTATCGGGTTGAGAGAAATGCATGAAATTTAGAGGATAGCTTAAAAAATACCTTGCCATCACACTCGTTAACATTATTTACTCATAAATAATTTTAAAATCTATAAATTTAAAAAATTTAGACCACACTCGGAGCAAAATAAAAATTCTGAATATGTGTAAATATCGGTTTATTTGGAACACATTGGTAACGGATAAAGAAATGCGGTCGGAAAAAATAATTATTGAGGAAAATCAATTGTACTTAAGCAGAAAACACTTTAATATTTCAATAATATTTTTTCGATGCCCTTTTTAATCCCACCCCCCAACCTTATGACAAAAACTATTTCTCTTGCCCTGTTATAAAAAACAAACTTATTTTGAATAATTTTTCATCCTCATGTGAATCAGTATGCATCCATTAAAAAACCAGAAGTCTCTGTCAAGACTGAAGCTCTACTGGTTTGAACTTATAGCAAAGGAAGAGAAAGTACTTAAGCAGCTGGGATTTGAAACTTTATAAACAGCATTAAATAGAATAATGATCATTGATAAAGTCTCTTTATGTTCTTAGTATAGTCTACTTGTGTGCCAAGTTATACTGAAATCAGAACAAAACTGTAGGAGGAGTAGCATTTTGAAACAATTTTACAGACATTTCTATTTTTAGTAACCACGGCAACACCGTTCATCAAAATTATAATTCGATTCATAGAATTATGTATCTTAGTGTATTCTACTTGTGTGCCAAGTTATATTGAAATCAGACCAAAACTATAGGAGGAGTAGCATTTTGAAACAATTTTACAGATATTTCTATTTTTAGTAACCACGACAACACCATTCATCAAAATCAAAAACCGATAAACAGAATTATGTATCTTAGTGTATTCTACTTGTTTGCCAAGTTATACTGAAATCAGACCAAAACTGTAGGAGGAGTAGCATTTTGAAAGAATTTCACAGAAATTTCTATTTTTAGTAACCACGGCATCACCGTTCATGGAAATCAAAAACAGATGCACAGAATTATGTATCTTAGTGTAGTCTATTTGTGTGCCAAGTTATACTGAAATCAAATCAAAACTGTAGGAGGAGTAGCATTTTGAAACAATTTTACAGACATTTCTATTTTTAGTAACCACGGCAACACTGTTCATCAAAATCAAAAACCAATGCACAGAATTATGTATCTTAGTGTAGTCTACTTGTGTGCCAAGTTATATTGAAATTAGACCAAAACTGTAGGAGGAGTAGCATTTTGAAAAATTGTTTACAGACAGACGGACAGCTAGACAGACAGACTGACAGATGGCCGGACGCCGGACGCATTACTATCGCATAAGCTCTTCTGGTCTCTGACCAGTAGAGCTAATTAAAACGAAAAAAAATGCACAAGTTTAACGCGCAAGATCATTACATACAGTTCAACTTTTGCCATATTTTTAGAAATCCGTGTTTACCGCGAAGCCCCCTGTTACAGAGTATTGCCCGTAATTTTCCTATCTTTGGACCGATTTTTATGAAACTTTGGTAAATACATTAAATAATCATCATAGATCGGGAAAATAGCAATATTATATACCCGCAAGGAAAAAAATTAAGTTTAATTGCAGGTGTCATAACAGTATTACACTTTGGTTCACGTCAAATCATGGCTGACGCAAAATATTCCCGGAATCTTCCCTTCCCATTCGGGCATTTTGATACGAGACTGGAGCTGAATTTTTTTTATGAGATGAAAAACAACATGTAAACTTCCTGTATTGACCAGATTTATTAAAATTTAGGGTGTGCTGATTTTTCTATATACTGTCAAGAGCGGGGAGTGATTAGGCCCTGGACTAGATTTTCAAGCACCTGCTCGACTTCGACCGAAACAAACTTGCATGCCTTGCTGGATGGCTATGTATTTTTTGGACTTAAATCTTTATAAAGAATGGTTTTACAAGATCTGAAAAGGAAACTTCATAGAAGTTTGTTTTGAATTAGTTACATTTACTCAAACTTGTGCATTTTTTGGTAAGAATATATAGCAGAAATTAATACTGTTGTGACACCAGTAGACCCACCCATATTCAATTATATTAAATCAGGTGACCTAAGTTTCAAACTGAAAATTAGAGCTGTCTTTCCTGACATACAACCATAAGACGCCCCTCCTCCTTTTCCGTCTCCACTAAAAAAAATGGTTGCTAT